ATACACATACTGCTGTGAAAGGCCCAGACATGGCAAAATTTTATGTAAAACAATTCAACAAAAAAAATGAACGGCCTGATTTATGTACAATATGATAAACGATAATATGACATACAATAACAAACCACAACTACTGAATTACAGGTTCCATACCTTGGACAGGCACATACAGATTTGGTGGGGTTAAACATATTTGAGGGCGCCCAACCATCTCCTAACCTGGGACATGTATTTTCAATTATTTTTTTAAAGAGAGTTTGCTTTCAAGAAAAATTGTATATTTTCAATTTTCTTCTATTTAGACCTCAATTTAAACTGAAATGAAAACTGGTTGCCATCAATAAACTTTCCATTCATGATTCTTTTGGTCATCAGAATGATGGACTTATATAAATGAACTGAAATGTACCTAAGCAAACAAATCATATTCAGATTTTCAAGGGGAATTGCACAGACTGTTAGAAATAAGTGAATTTGTCCGTGTGGTAAACGAGACCAGATATTTTTTCATTGATTATTGACAGGTGTTCATGAGTTATGATTGCATAACTTTTATGGTAAAAATATCTGTGACTATAGATGTACTGGTAGCTTATTTGCTCTAGGTGCAGGAGGTCAAGGGAGACTTTAAAATAGATTGGCATTTGCTGCATCACTACCAAGAACACTGTATTTAGGTATGTTAGAAATAAGAGCAAACCTTAATTGACTGGCAGTTTTAATTATGTGTGCGGGTATGTGAAATGTCTTCCTTCATTGTTACACTGAATGTGTGTTAGTGCATTGAAAATCAAAATCAGTGATTTGGTTTAATCACCCTGAATATGAATGTAATATTTGCCACTGGATGTGGAGCTAACTAAGGATAGAACCCTGTGAAAATAAAGACGCACAATCCCACATTAACTCCCTTAATTCCCCTAGAACCCTTTGATATTCTAGAAAAAATGCTTTTGATTTGTTGGACATACTTATCTTACATGTTTTTAATAAATTTAATAGCCGTTTTCATGTCTTTAGTTTTCCATGTTTTGTTTTGTTTTGTAGACAGTTGTTTGTCTTTTGGTCATTTTCGTTTTTTGTTAAAACTCATAAAGTTGACGCTAATTGTAGCTAAAAAGGGGGCATTTGACATTTAATGATAATGTCAATAATTCCTATGCTCCATAGGTATTTAGGGACAGGGCAATTTTTTTAGCTCTCCCCCTTTTTTTCTAAAATCAGTTATTTTTGTCTCGCCTTGACGTGGAGGCGGCGTCAACAATGTATTAGTTTGTGATTAGGTCTAGTTGATCGTGAACCACTAGTCAATGATATTTGGTATGCAGTTGTATTAGCATTGGCACATCTCATTTCCATGGAGATTATTTGGCCCTGCCCCCTCAGTCATGGTCTATTGACTTTGAAACTTTTGCTTGGTTTACATGTATTAGTTTGTGATTAGGTCAGTTCATGGGGAACCACTAGTGGTAGGCCAATGTTAGTTGGTATGCAGTTGTATAAGCACTGGCATATCTCATTTCCATGGAAATTATTTGGCTTTGCCCTCTCAGTCATGGTCTATTGACTTTGAAACTTTTGCTTAGTTTACATGTATTAGTTTGTGATTAGGTCAGTTAAAGGGGAACCATTAGTGGAAGGCCAATGTTAATTGGTATGCAGTTGTATAAGCATTAGCACATCTCATTTCCATGGAGAATATTTGGTCCTTACCCCTCAGTCATGGTCTATTGACTGAAAATTTTGCTTCGTTTACATGTATTAGTTTGTAATTAGATCAGTTTAAGATGAACCGCTAATGTTAAGTCAATGATATTTGGTATGCAAATTTATTGGCATTTGTAAGTCTCGTTTCCATGGAGATTATATAGCCGCACCCCCTCATCATGGTTCATTGACTTTGAAACTTTTACATAGTTTACAAGTTAATGTCTGTGTTTAGGTTTGTTTAAAGGGAACGACTTATGATAAGTCAAGGGTACCAATGATATTTGGTATGCAGTTGTGTTAGCATTGGCACATTTCATTTCCATGGAGATTGGTTAGCCACATACCTTCAGTCATATGGCTCACTGACTTTGAATATTTGCATAACTTACATGTTAAAGTATTGCTATTTCAATTTCAACACTTGCATTATCAAAATTACAAAAAGGCGAGACATATCTCTGTGTTAACAGTTTATTTTTGTTTACCATAAATTTCAATTATTTTCGTGTTTTTCTGTATTGTATGAACATAAATATATTAGAAATAACTTGTTATATATCAGTGACCGCTGTGTATAGCAAACTTGGAATTGATAGAAAATAACAAATACAACTTATTTCTAGTATATCTGTGTTCATGTAATACAGAAAAAAGCGAAAATAATTGAAATTTATAGAAAACAAGAAAATAACGGATTTTAGAAAAAAAGGGGAGGACAAAAACAACAATTGTCCTGTCCCCAAGTACCTATGGATCTAATTGACGAATATAAATGGCATATTCTCAAATCTGGGAGATGTCACGGAAAAATAGACAAATAGTAGTTATGAAATATGGCACGGATTATACGGAAAATTGAAGTACTTTCTTTTTATGTCGTGGACTCGATCATCGCTTGCCAACGTCTTGAACATTTTATTTGGTATCATTATTAAAGAAATAACTGTAATGCTGTAATGATGACTCAACCATCGATTTTTCTATGCATGTGTTATTTTAGTCTCAGGTTAGTAAAGCAGGAAACTGACAGATATACATGTATGTGACTAGAGAATCGAAATCTGGTGAATGATATTGATTGTGTAAAATGGGCATTAATTCTCATTATAAAAGATAAGACCTCTAGATATAAATAAAATGAGATGGTTTTGTGTTTTGTTATGTTGTTGGTTTGCTGGCTTATTGAATAATGCATCCACAATTTCTACTTTTAAGTTTGATATTTAAAAGAAATAATTGTCTTTGTAGCTTGTAGGTATGGGACTCCAGTAGGGTACTTACTCCCTTAGGTCACAGGGTCACGTTTAAATTTGCCTCAGGTCACCAGGTCACTTTTAAGCAAACTATACAGTTATAAACTGATCTGAATCTCGGTTTTCAATATCTTTAAAGGTCGAAGGTCCTTTTAGACGAGACGACAGACCAAATAATGCACCCACATTTCCTCCTATTAAGTTTGATATTTAAAAGAAATAATTGTCTTTGTACATATATTTTCTCGAAAGGAGTAGCTTGTTGGTGTTTGACGGTCTCTTGTACTGACCAGTGAGAAATTTGGAAATTCCCGTTATTATAAGTCTATCAAAGGGACAATTTATCACAATAGTTGCACTGAAAGATTTACATGGGAACTAAGAGTTAATGGGCAATAAAACGTTTGTACTGCCAGAGACATATATTGTAATACATTGTATTATATGTCTCTGGTACTGCATATGCAATTTTGAATTCACAATGAACTGAGATGAAGTCGTATTGTTATTAGAAAAAAAAATATCTTAAACGTTACAAACACATATATAAGATATAAAATATGGAGATGTGACTGTATGATTGCCAATGAGATAACTATCAACCAGAGTTCAAACGACGTGGTATATATTAAAAGCGCAATTATAGGTCATTGTACGGCATTCAACAATGAGGAAACCCAATACCGTATAGACGGCTACAAAAGTCATCGACATGAAAAATATGAAACAGTTCAAACGGAAAAAAACTTGCGGCCTAATATATAACAATACGTGTTATAGTACTCTTAAAAATGAACATAGATTTCACCTTAGACACATCACGGATTTGTATAGATTTTTCAACTCCCTCTGACAAAGCTGACATTAGATGGATAAGGCTGTTTTTTCCCCATTTGATCAAATAACTCTTCACGTGTTTCAGTACGTATACATTCTTGGCTTTCAAATATTCGGCTTTAAGTGTTCCGGATGAAGGTAAATTTAGAAAAGTGCGTCGGACGCATGAAATTTACGAGGTGTTTTGTTTTCATTTCCGTTGTCAAGCAAATCTATATTTGTTCACACTAAATACCTAAAGAAAAAACGTATACCTGGTACCCTTAGATCAGCTTGAAGATAAGCGTATGTTTTCTATAGGTAAAATGTTCGTGAGGTAGTTGCCTTTCTACCTTAACGACAACTACGCCACTGTATACACTGCCGGGGGACGGTGCAAAGAGTCAACAAACGAACAAGTTTTATAATCATCAACAGGAATTACTGATGGTTTTCTGGGACTAATGTATTGAATTATCTATTCGTCACAGTGGTTTTTAAAAGGTTACCAAGAAACTCCGCTAAACTCTTTTTAATTCAACAGATAGTTATTGTTATCCTGCATTCGGACAACATAGGCAAAACTTTATAGTATACGTGAGTCCATTATATTAGGAGACACTCACCTTGTTTTAGGTATAACCCCATAAAAAAGTTGAATAGCGTGAATCTTGTATGAAAATAAAGCATCGGACTTGACACATTTATATATAATTATATCGAAATATCAATTTATTCAGAAACGTAATAACTAAATAGCAAAATTAACCGTTGTACAAATTAACCTTTGAAAAGTAGAGAAACTAATATTTTTCACTTTTTTATTTTAAAATTATGCATACATAAGAAGTGAGCTAGGACACGGAATTACTAATAATATGGATTCCCTTCATATATATATGGCATGCTTAATTAAACATTTCGCCTTTTAAAATTATCACAAAAGTTGGAGAAGAAATGCCATTTTTTTAAAAATAGATACACACATGCAAACCCAACAAAATTATTTTATTTCCCATATATTTTCATAATCAACGGATACCTGTATTTACTTTATACTGGAAGAAACTCTATATATAGAATTTATAATCGAAAGATTTTAAAGGACACAATTTATAAGTTTTAATATCTTCCGTCATTAGATCATATTTAAATCATATCAAAGGAACATTTTCATAATCTTTTTCCGGAATATGTGATAGAAGGCCTCGGAATTTCTCAATTTTTGTTCCATATTGGAAAAAATGAATGTTTTCCCGTTAGTATTGCTTTAAGCAATCTATCTGGTCTTATTGATAAGTTAAAGTGAATTAGACAATATGAAGAAACACTTGTTTTTATTATTGTTAACGGTATATTGTTCTTCAGCCACAACAACGAAAAATGCAGAGTGCTTCAGAAGTGGAAGGTAAGTCAATGCATTTTAAGTTTTACTCAGCTAGTGGATAAAGGCAATTATAGGCAACCGTACGGCCTTCAATAATGAGAAAAACTCAAACCGTTTAGTCGGCTATAAAAGGCCCTGACATGAAAAATAAGAAACAATTCAATTGAGAAAACAAACGGTCTAATTTATAACAAAACAATTTACGAAAAAAAAAAATATGACAGACGTGAACAAACGACAATCACTGAACTGTCGCGGAATAGGTACGTTGAATCCGATAAGTCTTGTAGGGCGAGTGTCGTCTTGACGATCTCTGTACATTAAAGCCAACAGTTGGAACATTTCTGTAAGGGGATAATCATAAATGAGTGGGCTGTTTCCGTTGCAAGCATACCCTCATTTTTCAGTTGCAGTCCAAATCTTTCTCAACCACGCAGAACTTACTAATTGTATTAGTTGTTAATGTGTTCTGGTCCCGAATATGCACTAAATTGTCACTGCATGTTACGCAATCAACAACACATCAATCTAGATGTGGGTGGAGTCAGAACTTAGTATATTTCTATTGTTGACGAAAACTTTGTTACGAATTAAATCTGTTATAATCAATTTTCGAATTCATTGAAATGTTTTCTGGAATCCGAAATAGCAAAGTCTCGTAATCTGCTATAACGAATTGTCTTCAAGATGTAAAACTGCCATAGAGCTGTCATTTTATCATTCTCGAACGTGGTAGCGTGCTCACATGGACCCTCTTTTTTTCTAAATATTTTTTTTTTGTGTTTTAGATTTTTTAGAAAATATTTTGTTTTAACTAATTTCAATTATTTAATGTGTTCTTGCTCTTTTCCGTTCGATATAACATAATCATAACACTAATGGAGAGTGAAAATTACTGTTATTGTAATATCGTATGGAAAAGTGCAAAAACACATTAAATCAGTGAAAATAAGTTAAACTATCACATTATACATACTCAAACAAATCAAAACACAAAAAAAAACAAAAAAAAACAAAAATATTTAGAAAAAAAAGGGGGGGTCCATTTCCCAAGCGCATGCGAGCGTGCTCAACTCGAATGCGTGTTGTCGAGGGATTGATCTTTAAAAAAAATGCATGATATTTCCTGCTTTCCACTAAAAACTCAGAAATATATACATTGTGTTATTGCCCACTTGCAACTCAAATAGTCTTTCAAAGATAATATTATTTTCAGAGATGGGATAAGTACATTCTGTTGTAACAACCACGAATGGAAGAATGGACGATGTGTTGGTATGTATTTATATGCTTTAAGAATATTCAAATTTGGCAAAGTGATTGATAATTAAGACAACTATCAACCAAAGACCAAATGAACTTCTTTAATAGTAATAGGTCCCTTCCAGCTCACAATCTTCGACAATGAACAATATATGATTTTATATACTCAGATATATACAGATCCCGGAAACAAAATGTGAAACAATTAAAAAAGGCGGCTATAACGACCTGGACGAATACTACGTCGGTATTTGAAAAATAACATACAATGTAACATCTGTGGATAAGGATGTACATGTACTAGTGTCTTATTTTGGACGTGAGGGCAGGGTCTTCATATTTTTTATTATTTTATAGTTTTTATGACATTTTTCTCTATTATCTAAAAAAAAAAAAAAAAAAAAAAAAATGCGCCCCATTTTAGCCATCATTTAAGGTTTAACCATTTTCTTTTTTCTTTATTTTCTTTACCTAATATTTCCTTTTCTGTAAACCCAATCCATCCCTACATATGTATGTTAGGATATATGTATTATTTACAAGAGTAGATTGTATGTAATCACTATTTTGATAAGATACGATACGTAAGGTAACAGTTAAAATTAGACAATACAACGAAATTGACTACCAATGAGGGTCTCGATCTGTCGATAGTACAAAACACAGGTATTCATGTAGTTACGAGAAAAAATAACACCTGATCGGATGGAGCCACTTCCTCCCCTTCATTCTGTTTAATGGTATAGTATTTTTATAATTATTAATGATAATTTAGTAATTTATTATTTACTATTTATATTGGTGGGGAAAGGGGGGGGAGGGGGGTTTAAAATTTTGTTTTTGTTTCATATATATATATATCTATAACTATAACTATATTGATTCAATCTTAACATTATTGTATTCTAGAATGCACAGCCGGTTACATGTCGACGGGACACGGTAAACCTTGCGAGCCTTGCCGAAGTAACCGATATGGCCCTAAATGCAGTTATGGTTGCAACTGTTCACCAAGTCAAAGGTCAGTTATTTTGTTTGCATCTCAATACCTTCATTCCTTTTATGATTTTTATCAGATAGTAAAATATGTAACAAATTTAACGCAGAGTGGAAAGATTTTCGTATCTTGCATATATTTTTTTATATTCAGCAATAAAATCACTGACAACTTATACATTAATTATAATTTGCATTTTAGATACGCTAAACTTGTTATATGAATGAATGAAACTTATTGATAAGACACATTTCGTCTTGTGAATCTTACAGTGTTATATGTCCACTTTTGATAACATTGGAGATAGCTATATATATTTGATATCCAAATGCAATGGTCTATCTCCCTATACAACTATATAATACGAGATTTCTACATTCTACGAGTTTTTGTCAGAACTATACTGTTATATCTCCATATCCCCATTGGATTATAATAGCTTATTCATCTAGTTAGTACAGAGAAAATATTCTTATAGTGTTGTATCTCCATTAGTTTTTAATGCATTTTTGCTGTAAATAATTGTTTTCAAAATTATGGAAATACTATGCTTAAATTGTTTACATCGTTTGACTGGCCATGGGGATATTACATAGTTAAAAAAGTCATAATCTGTCTTCAATAGAAATATAGGGATACATTTCTAAAACAGCATTGTTTGTAGGGAAGTGTGATATCTCAAGAGAAGGAGATGCTTTATTTATCTTAGTTGTTTAATTGTCAATTAAAAAAACCCATAGAGAACAAAGAGTTACTCTTCATGTACGGGAATTCGATTTTTATTTAAGTTTTTATGGCGAAGTCAAATATTAATAATATTGCGCTTTTAAAATTTAAGTTCTATTTTAACCGCTATTACAAAATGGGAAATACATCATTTTAAGATTCAAATGACGATATATATTAACTGTTTCAAAATTTTACAAAAGAAGGAAATAATCTAAAGGAAGTTTTGTTAGAAAAATAATCTTTTATAACGTCTTACTATTTTGATATTCATAATCGTAAACAGATGTACCTTTAAATTAAATTATGTATGATTTCATTAAAAAAAACCGCAAAGAAAATTTCCTGAACATTTTCCCCTCTTTAAACGTTTAATTCGGACATTGATATGTATGTACATGCGCACACGTAGTTGTTAGAAAACATTTAATATCAATAATAATGAAATATAGAGTGAGTTATTATAAATAGATCGTTGTTTAAAAGTAAAGGGCTTTTACAATCGAGAAGGTCATCAAAATATTGTGTAATCTATTTCAATACACTATAGCTTGCTTGTCAAGTAAAAGTCATCATAAATATGAAGCTCAAAATACTTAACTCCTTGTTGTGAATTCATGCCGTCTAACACTCTAATATCGACGACTGAACATTGGAGTAGATTTAATACTGCAACACCATAGACAGTACAGCAAATACTGATCTAGTACTGTATATGTAAATACCAACTTTTCTCAAAGTTGATTTACAATTTATTTTCCAGATGTGACCCAGTTGTGGGATGCGTGATTGATGAAGAAATAGAGTTGGACATTTTTGTCGGTAAATATTTCGTGATGTCTCAGCTAGTTTACCGTTTAAATAACAATAAGACTTTTTTTTGAAATATGACGTCATGTTTCGGTTGTACTCCTTTTACCTTAAATGTTTTCCAATCCGTTACACAAATAAGCCGTTTTCTTTAGTAAACATTAAAAATGGAAAGCAAAATTCCTAAATAACATTTTTTGTTCACAAACAATGATAGCTTGAACGATACGCTTGTTTTTTTTTGTGGTTTTGGTCTCAAGCATACCTACATATGTATGAAATACTAAAGGACAGTTAATGAGTAAATATATGTTTTCACCATTGCTCTTTAATGCAGCGATTCAATACAGAAAGAAAAAAAAAATAGCTCAAATCTTATGTCCAGGCTTTTTAAAATAAATTCATAGAAACGAGTAAACTGTATAATCGATAATAGATAGTACGTATATGACAGAAGAAAGTGTAGAATATATGATGGTGTGGATGGGGTTTACAGAATAGAGAATAATGGGAGAAAATAATAAAGAATATAGAGAAAAATGAGCAAAAAAAATAAAGAATAGATACTAATGGGGTGCTAAAATATAAAGAATACTGCAAAAATTAAAAAAAAATGGGTAAAATATACTGACTACAGAAAAGAACAATGTCCAGTATACAGTTATCAAGTAATTACAGAATAGCCATTATTTTTAAAGAAAAAGAATAATGAGCGAAAAAATTAAAGAATACAGAAATGAAGGACCCCCATCCATACTCTCATATATGTATATATAAAGATAAGAAGATGTGGTATGATTGGCAATGAGACAACTCTCCACAAGAGACCAAATGACACAGAAATTAACAACTATATGTCGTCATACGGCCTTCAACAATGAGCAAAGCCCATATCGCATATTCAGTTATAAAAAGGCCCCGAAATGACTAATGTAAAACAATTCAAACGAGAAAACTAGCGGCCTAATTTATGTACAAAATAATGAACGAAAAACAAATATGTCACACAGCAACAAACGACAACCACTGAATTACAGGCTCCTGACTTGGGACAGGCACATACAGAATGTGGCGGGGTCAAACTCGTTTGAAGGCGCCAACCCTCCCCTAACCTGGGACAGTGGTGTAATAGTACAACATAAGAACAAACTATAAAAATCAGTTGAAAAAGGCTTAACTCATCAGATGGATACAAATAGAAATACATCTAACAAAAACACAGAGTGGACGTGGACGGGTACTTATACATCCCCACAACAAAAAGACACTAAGTACTGATCTGAGAGTACTCGCAGATACTGACAGCTAGTTCAAAGCCAATAACAGCTAATGAAAAAAATCATGCATCTGCATATTTTCCTCCTTTTTCATGCAGAATTGGAAGATGAAAGCAGTGACGATACCATTAATCAAAATAGAACCGAAAAGAATATATCAACTGAAGGTAATTAAATTCTTACGTTTTTATTTTATAGCAAAGGTATATGTACATTTAGTTTCAAAAAATGAAAATCCAACACCTTACGATGCAACAAGTGACAGAGCAAAAGACAAAATCCCAAATTTGTACATACAAACATTTTCCAGAGCATAGCAGAAAACCAGGAATAGTTTTCAGCGAAATTAATGATACACTAGGAAATTAAGATAGGATATATGTGAAAAACCTATCAAATTAAACACACATAAAATAACTATCGACAGATTAATGATATTATATTGTTTTTGAAAATTTTCAAACACAATGTAAAAATATCTGAAACTCAATTACAAATCGGTATTATTATTTTGTTTTGAACAGTCTTATAACCGATTTATCTAATTTTACTAACAAAACAGATAGTTGGATAATTGAATACAAATTATGTTACGTATTTTTTATATCTTTATTCATAGACTCTGAAGGCAGATTACAAAAAAAAAAACACTTATCACTTTTGTTTCGTTTCCTCTTGCGCTGAAAACTTTCTTATCTTAAAGTTGAAATCATGACGAATAAAAATATACTAGATGTCAGTACATAATTCAGCAACCTAACGAAAAAAATAACACAAAAACCCCACATAAAGACAAGGGACCAAGATTGATAAATAAATAAAGAGATCTAAAGTAAGTAAAAATTGAAATAATTGGATAAGAACCGCCCCCCGTAAGACCCCCCAAAACAACCACCCAAAATAAAATGAACACGTGAACCTTCTGCTATTACTTTTCGGATTCCCTTATAAAAAAATGACATCATACATTAAAAAAAATCATATAATAACCAAACCCATACTAAACAATCTGATTAAAATACAAATCCTGTGTCCACGATGATTTTCTCACAAGTAAATGAAGCTCGGACACAGGATCCGTATCTTAATCAGATTGTGCACTATAGATCTCCGCCGTTATCAAGCTGCTTGGAATATTTTATTATTTTTTTTTATGTATTCCAGATAAGCTACCTGGTATATTAACTTCTGACCCCGTACAGTACAATAGAGAAAATCACACGCTGTCTATAGAATATATCAATAGCACAGGTAAATTACGGTTATTAAAATTTCATTTGTAGAAAAACTGATCTTATTACTTATTGTGCATAGTTTGCATAATTTTGTAACTTGAAATAAAACTTATGATTTTTGAGAACTTCGTTTGAATCATTTTAAGATTAGCCTTAGTCATATATTTGTAAATTATCGTAAGATTCAATAGAACAAACGCATTTAACTTATTAATTTATTCATGTTAGCTACGATTAGAGGGGCATTTCAGGTATGTGCGTTAACTTGAAACTTAGTACACCTGTTCATTATGAAGTCAATGTTTCGTAATATATGCGGACCAAATGAGGATTATGACCCAGATTTCATGGTTGCATGAACTTGAAATGTGATAATGTGAACTGAGAACGATGTCCAATAGCCACGTATTCTTGTTTTCTAAATGTTAAACATAATGTTTGTAGGGGACATAAATACAGCGTCGGCGCAACCTGTGACAACAAGCGTTGAACAAATCTATGTTCTGTCCAACATGTCAAAAGAGAAAGACCATTCAGGTATTAAGATAATTTAATAAATATCACCAATAATTGTTGTGAACTTGTTTGACTAACTTTCAACTTTTGAAATACTAAGGCTTTTCTACCTCAGGAATAGATTACCTTAGCTGTATTTGACAAAACTTTTAGGAATTTTTGGTCCTCAATGCTCTTCAACTTCGTACTTTATTTGGCCTTTTTAACCTTTTTTGATTCGAGCGTCACTGGTGAGTCTTTTGTAGACGAAACGCGCGTCTGGCGTAAATACAAAATTTCAATCCTGATATCTATGATGAGTTTATTTTCAACACACAACACATCCCATGGATAACCCAGGAAATCAAAAAACTTATGAGACGAAGAGACCGAGCTTATAAAAAGAAAAAGAAATCAAACCATACTACTGATGTTAAAAGATTTAAACAACTGAAACAAACCATCCAAAGAAAATCAAGACAAGCCTATTGGAAGTATATAGAAGACATAATAACTCCAGAAGATAACGAGGACATCCGTTCACCAACAAAAGGATTCTGGACCTATATCAAACACAAGAAAAGTGATAAAAATGGAGTAGCACCACTTAGAAGAAATGGGAAATTAGAAACTGACCCAATAAATAAAGCAAATGATCAATTTCAATCAGTCTTCTCTGCTGCATGTCCAATCAGTAAACGAGATTTTGAAAAGAAAAAACTCATGTCAGATCTACCAGAAAATTATCCAGACAGCGAACAAATAATCATCACAATTAATGGAGTGGAAAAACAGCTGAAAAATCTAAAACCACACAAGGCTGCTGGACCAGACAACATCAAGCCAATGATTCTGAAAGAACTAGCCAGTGAAATTGCTCCAATCTTAACCATCATATACAATTTTTCAATGGAGGAAGGAAAGATACCCGATGACTGGCGAACTGCAAATGTCACTCCGGCATATAAGAAAGGCCAGAAATACATAGCAGCTAACTATAGGCCAATATCCCTAACATGTATTTGCTGCAAAATAATAGAACACATAGTCACCAGTAACATCATGAAACATGCAGAGGTAAATAACATACTATACCCATTACAACACGGCTTCAGAAGTAAAAGATCATGCGAAACACAACTCCTTGAATGTATCGATGACATCACAAAAAACCTGGAAAACGGAAAACAATCAGATCTGCTAATACTTGACTTTTCAAAAGCTTTTGATAAGGTGTCCCACAGCTTACTCCTCCATAAATTACACCATTATGGCATCCGAAGTAAAACAAACAAATGGATAAAGGAATTTCTCACCAATAGAACCCAGGTAGTAGTTGTTGAAGGCGAAACATCTGACAAAGTAAAAGTAGAATCCGGAGTACCGCAAGGATCAGTATTAGGACCCAGTCTTTTTCTGTTCTACATCAACGACCTACCAGAAGGCTTACACTCCACAGTGAGACTGTTTGCGGACGATACTGTGGTCTATTTGACAATTTCATCAGACAGCGACTGCCATAAACTCCAAGAAGACCTGGACAAACTGGCAAAATGGGAAGAACTCTGGAAAATGGAGTTCCATCCTGAAAAATGTAGTGTCCTCACTGTTACAAAAAAGAAAAAGCCAACCAAGTGGGACTATAAACTCCACGGCCATACTCTGGTGCATGAAACATCAACTAAATACCTAGGCTGCACCATTGCAAATGATCTAGATTGGGGAGAACATATAAACAACATCACAGGAAAAGCCAGCCGAAGCCTTGGTTTCCTACATCGAAACCTCCACATTAGCTCAAAATCCATCAAAGAGCATGCCTATAAAATATTAGTAAGACCGCAAATGGAATACGCCACGACAGTATGGGACCCGTACCAGCAAAACCACATAGATAAAATTGAAAAGGTACAAAGAAGAGCTGCACGATATGTAACCAGCAGACATAGAAATAGATCAAGTGTCAGCAACATGATAAATGAATTAGGATGGAAAAGCTTACAAACAAGACGAAAAGAAGCACGACTCATCATGTGTTACAAAATAACAAACGACCTTGTAGCCATAGACAAGAATAAATATCTACAAAAACCAACAAGAAGCTCAAACCGGACAGGACAACATACTTACCTATTACAGCCAGCCACCAAAGACTGTAGGAAATGGTCCTTCTTCATAAACACCGTCAAGGATTGGAACAAACTGCCACCAGATACCGCCACAGCAAAGTCTCTTGAGATATTCAAGTCTCAAGTCACCAAAACCACAAACTAAATCAACAGAACAATTTGTTTTTATCCTGTTTTTAACCTGTTTTTAATCATGCGCAACTTGCCAGAATATTCATCATGTTGAATGTGGGCAGTATATGGAAGAAGAAGAAGAAGAAGACATCCTTCTGTGCCCTAAGTTACACGCGTTAGGACTAGAGAATTTATAAGTACGGTTGGTTCTTTGAATTTGTTGATGTCAAGTGTTAGACAAGACATTTAATAAATCCGCTATTGTAAAATGTCAAATCACTGGATACCACGTGTCAATATATATTTTAACAAAAGTAACACGAACGAAGAAACTACTGACTCTTCCGCAGTACTTGTGATCATCTCGATTTTTGGTGATGTTCTTGTGCTAAATCTTTAGTTTTCTGTGTCACAGTAGTTTTTTGTGTTACTATAGTGTTTTGTGAATGGTTGTTTGTCTTTTGTCGTTTTTTCTTGTTAAAAATTATCTTGACTTATGGGGCTTGATTGCGACATTGGTATCGTAATTAGCCTTTTCTCTTCGTACACCTTTATATAACCGATTTGTGGTGCCGTCCCAGATAATAGGGGAGGGTTGGCGCCTTCAAAAATGTTTAGCCCGCAACATTCTTTATATGCCTGTCCCAAATCAGAAGCCTGTAGTTCTGTGGTTGTCTTTGGTTCATGTCTGTCATATTTGTTTTTCGTAAGTTGATTTATTATAAATTAAGCCGTTAGTTTTCTGATTGAATTGTTTCGTATTTTTCATGTCGGGGCCCTCTATGGCCGACTATACGGTATGGTTTTTTTTCTCATTGAATGTCGTACGGTTGCCCATAATTGCTTACATCCACTTCATTTGAACTTTGGTGGATAGTTGTCTCATTGGCAATCATACCACATCTCCTTATTTTCATATTTTGTCCAAATTATGTAGTTTAACGCTTTTTCAAATCAGTCGATATATCTATCACAAAAACAATGATTTTTTTTTTCATTTTTATTGTGTAAACACATACTCAATAATCTGATAACAGCAATAATTTTTTGGATTTATTTTAATTTTCAGAATTGTCGATAAAATATATATTAGCATATACATCAGCAGCAGTTGGTTGTTTCGTACTTGTAATTGTATTAGCTTACTATAAATGGAGAAAAGTATCTGGGAATCATCAAAAATCCAGGACATATCGAATAGTTAATATTGATCCACCAGACGTACACATTAGAGGCGAAGCTTTATACGAAACTATCGATGTCAACAAAATGAACCAAAATAACAATCTCGTTATTGACCCTAAAACTAGTACCAAGGACGTTACAAGTGAAACTCACGAGGATAAAATTTCATTGGGGAATGCAGAATGTTTAAATTCATATTTGGAATTTGTTTCAGAGTTGAACGAAACAAATGTTTCTCATCGCTAATGGTTAGTATACAGACAAAATGAGAGCAATGAAACATAGACCAAACAACACATGCTTTAGTATAGTGTACTAAACTGTGCACCAATTCAATTTATAGGAATCACTTTGAGAATAGATAATTTGGTTGACTGAAAGATACGTCCATGTAAGGCAAAAGTGTATTGAAACTCTTTTGTAGTGTCTAAAATTGCGATGCGTATGATACATGCCAAATACTGTATATTTAGAAATTTGTGCATTCTCTTATAATTGCGAATGTTGACAGAAGATAAAAACGCGAGATGAATTATTTCGATTTTAAGAAATGTTACATACAAAAAAAAAAAAAAAAAATCATCCAAAATTCAAAATGCTAGCTTGTTTTTGTTTTTGATTTTTCCGAAAACTATCTCATTGGAAATTTTGCAATAATTAAACACAAATTTTCTGAATATACAATACAAGTTTCTTAAATAGGTAGGCCCTATACGTCTGTGCACATCTTAATGATTCTGTATAAACTATTCTTTTAATCTTTTCCGTACAATACAGACACCCCAAGGGGTATGGAAATATGGTTCACTTTGGTCTTCTTCCGACCGGCAGTAAAACCCTTGTTTGTCTGTGCGGGATGTATAAATTCACAGCCACGTACGATCATATTGTGGACGTTAACTAGATGTCTCGTGTAGAGTGAGTGCCACGACCTCTGCACGTTTAGAACCCTGACAACTCTTTTAGGGGTCTGTAGCTGGCATGTTATGAGGTATATAAATATGGTCACTTTGGTCTTCTACCGACCGGCAATGCAACTCTTGTTTAAGTCAGGCATTCGTTTGGTTATGCGGGATGTATAAATTCGCAGCCAAGTCCAGTCATATTGTGGACGTTCACCTCGATGTCTCTTGTAGGGGAGTACCACGACCTGTGCACGTTAAGAACCCTGGCAAAAACTTTTTAAGGGCTCCGTTGGTAGTCTGTTGTAAGGCCAACATCTGTCCCTATCCCTTATACCCTCTTGTTTTCCATTGGCACCACCCTTTATCCCTTCGAACCCCTATTGTATTACCGACCTATTATTTTAGTGTCAATTTGTTCTCGTCTTGAACATGCATGAACAATTTGACACTAGACGTAAAGCAAACAATCATATATCAATCAATTCATTTAGTATGTGTCTGTCTTGACTTTCCAAATTTGTATGTAGTTGTATTAAGGGGACAACCAGTTGATTCTGAGCTGGGGGCCTGGTAGACTTTGTAAATAAATAGTCTGGCCCCCACTAAGTGTGAAATAAATAATTTTATTTTATTATCATTATCAGACATGAAAATAAATTTCGCTTTTCGAACTGATGTCAAGGATTGAGAAGTACGTTATTTCGCACTAAATTTGGCATCAATTTGCCATGTCGGGGCCTGCATACCTTGCTATGCTTTATGGGTTTTGTTTTTTGTTGAAGGCCGTACGGTGACCTACAATTGCTAACATCTACGTCCTTTGGTCTCTGGCGGACCATTGTCTCATGGCAGTCATACCACCTCTTCTTATATTATATCAATAGTAAATATTGAATATTACGCAATACCACACGTAGACGATGCTAGACAGATTAGAGAACAGTGCAAAAGGATTGTTCTAGAGCGGATCCTTTGATTATATTCAATAATTATACTGGTATGTGAAATCTGGCAATGTTGGTCCATGCATATTCTTACACTATAAATCATTTGGGGATTTTTTGCCCTTGTGAAAAGCAAAATCTTAAGCCAACATATGTATATATCATCTATCCTTTTTGAAGGAGGACTAACTGTGAATGTTGAATAACTGTGTATGCGCCTACATACGGAGTATAGAAAATAGAAATAGAAAAAGAAATACTTTATTAATCCAATTATGGACCCTTGCGGGTTTTAAATTTCATACAATGATTACAATGATTTTTGTTATGACAATGAAATAATAATAAAATAAAATACAACACAATAGAACACTGAATAGTTATTGCATGCACACGAAAGAGAAAGTTAATATGGGAGACAATCAATAAATATGTAAGGACTATTCCCCTTTGAACAGTATCTAATAATTTTTGAAGATATGGTGTTTAGAGTCGGATAAAAAAGATGCCCCAACTGATTAAATATAAGGGTATTTTTTCCCATGTACACGCAGCAAACAATTACTAAATATTTATGTATATAATATTTAAATTGAAAGAATTGGATAAGCACCTTTACAAATTTGACTGCAGTTTAACTCATATGTTAGACATTAACATATATATACATGAATTTGTTCAGTGTATGTTCAATGGTGTTAATATGTCCTTTGATTGAGTTAAGCTATTTCAGTTGATATTTCATAGTGTGTCTTTCTATGTTGTGATGTTACACTATTGTTTCAGAAAAAAGGTGAAGGTTTGGTACCATTAAAACGTTTAAACCCGCTGCATTTGTTTGCACCTGTCCTAAGTCAGGAATCTGATGTTCAGTAGTTGTCGTTTGTTGATGTGGTTCATAAGTGTTTCTCGTTTCTCGTTTTTTATATAGATTAGACCGTTGGTTTTCCCGTTTGAATGGTTTTACACTAGTATTTTTTTGGGGCCCTTTATAGCTTACTGTTCGGTGTGAGCCAAGGCTCCGTGTTGAAGACCGTACTGTGACCTATAATGGTTTACTTTTATAAATTTTGACTTGGATGGAGAGTTGTCTCATTGGCACTCATACCACATCTTCTTATATCTATGAAATATGCATTCACATAGATAGAGTAATGTGTATTTTATTTAAAAAATTCAAAAATTTAAAATATATATGTAACACTCAGAAACGTGTCCTTCCCCCCAAACGTGTCCGATTCCCCCAAACGTGTCCACATGACGTCACTGAACTGCAAAACATGTCTAAATGTAAAAGGGTGGCAAAGCGTGTCATTTGTCTAAACGCCCAAATGTGTCCATTCCCCCAACCGTGCCCATATCAAGCTTAATTTTTTTTTTCTTTTACTGGAACTATCATTCGTGTCCATATTATAAATACGTAGGTTATTTGGTTATTGTTTTTTCATTAACGTCTACTCATTTTACTATTTCATTAAAAACTAGAAATAAATTACTTTAGGTCTTTTTTAAACCGGCATAACCTTTTTTAGATTAAAAACCCAATTAGTGTTAATCCCGAATAACCGTCAAAATTTAGACCCAATCCTAAATTCCCGGTATGATAATAGAACCTATATACAGTATTTATTGTTAACATGATGTCGTTAAAATAATGCATGAAATATTTGGCACTGGACGTTATTTCTCTTGTTCGTGTGTCGATGCTCGAAACCTAAAATTTATTAAAAAACCTGAAAACCAGTTTATGATTTGAAGAGCTTTTAAAATATCAGATCTGTTGAAAAAAAGGGAAGTCAATTCTGCTGAAAGCCCGCCGTCGGATTAATATAAAAGGCATCATCGGAGTTTATTAGTAACACATAATTTACATAGTAAACGATTTTAAAATTCAACTGCACTAGATTTATTTGTATGTTCGCTCTAAATGAGCATGAAAAACTTGCAACTGGACAATAAGCAAATTCAGTCAAAAGTTAATTCATATGTTACATATTAAATTTGCAATTATGATAATCTTTAACAACCGACATTGAACAGACTAATGCTAATAAATTACTACCTCATCAACTGTTTCCCCCCATCATAGAATTGCCGTAAACGCGTTATTGATTTCATTCAGGACATACATGTATTAGCGCTAAAAGACGCGAGACGTTCTGGCGTTAAATAGTGGACACGTTTCGGCGAATAACAATTATTGGACACGTTTGGGGGTTATGAAATCGGACACGTTTGGGGAATATTGAATATTACGGACACGTTTGGGGAGAATAGACACGTTTGGGGGAATCGGACACGTTTGGGGGGAAGGACACGTTTGGGAGTGTTACATATATAGATAAACTAAAAGAGATTTAGCCATTTACAGATTTTTTGGATCTCAATTCAAAACTCTGGATAAGAAAATTACTTAATTTTTCAAGTATATATTTATCTTCAGTGATCATAAAAATTTTGATTTGCAGTCTATGTTATTAAACTTTTGACAGTGCTCATGAGCTTGTGCAAACAATAATTCCCGAAAGTTATTATATAATGGACAGTTTATTAAAAAATGAAACTCATCTTCAATATCATTATGAGAACAAAAATTACAAGTCCTCTGTGACCTATCTATAGTTTTTTTTTTAATGTCGCTCTCTTTCCACTCGCAATTGGTGGGCACTTATGCGAAATTTACATAATATTTGTCTTAATTGAAAACTTTGAATATCAAGATATTTTTCCATTTTGAAATTAGTTTTATGAGAAAAATATGTATCCAGCTTTCCAGTAACATTAGCTTTATCATTGTACCATGCTTTCAAAAACAATGTCTTTAACTTTTTCATAATAAATTGTTTTAATCTATTAATTGAATAATCAATACAATATGTTTCTTTAAATTCAAGCTTTTCTAAAATAAATTTAACAGAGGAATACCATGTCATAGCGGAATCTGAAAATACAATGACATCATCTGCATGGAATAGAACATAGAAGGACGGTCCATAACGTATCATTGTAATCAAAGAGTACCTCGTAAATTTATCCCTGTTTCAATTTTGTCTTAAAAATTGCACATTCTATCTATAGGTAATTGTTCTTTAGTATTATCAGTGTAATTGTCATATTATATGACAACATGAACTAAATAAACATTCTGTTCAAAGTAGTATAATATAAATGAAAATGAAATTAAACATTTTAATTGTAATGACAGATTTTGACAATATGCGTTAAAACAAAACATGTTACAGCTTTTCTCATTCAAAACGTAAAACAAAAAATGAATAAAAAAATGAAAACATTCCTCCATTGTGCAATATGAGAACAATAGTGCACGATCGTACCCGTCGGGTTTCAAACAAAATTATAAGGATCGGTTGTATGATTTGATGTACAATGACCTTTATAAATTTTCAATGTTGATACATTTATATATGTATAGACATATGTTTAGTTAGATAAGATTTAACTTTAGTTCAATCAACCAAAAACTACCTATGTTTGGTCCATGATTATTTACGGTGTACTAATTTTTGTGGATTTCGAGGGTATAGGTGAACCAGGGATTACAATAACCAACAAAATTAAATAATCTTCTTGTATGCAGAAATCGGGAAAAAAAAAATGAAAATACACTTTTCCTCAATCCACGAAAATTATTGAATTCTACAGTATACATGTATGCCACATAACAGCTTTTTAACGTACCAGTCCCATAAGAATCCATCTAATACGATTTATTACTGAAAAAGACTACATTTGAAATATGTTGATATCGTATTTATCCTTTTTGGTCATATAACTCTTCAACTGTTTCGGTTCCTATACATCCTTGGCTTTCAAATATTTGGCTTTGAGCGTTCCTGATGAAGGTAAATCAAGAAAAGCGCTTCGGACGCATGGAATTTAGTACGTGTTGTTTTCGATTTTTATTTAGAATTTAGAGGTATGTTGAAATTCAGGCATTATATTTCATATTGACCTTACAAAATAGGATAAAAATGTTATAAAATGCATCGTAAAATACATCCTGAAAAAGATAATCACAATGAGGTCCACAGTGGATTCTATTGTAAAATACATGGCTATTATCTGTACTGGTAAAGCAGTAAAAGAAAAATATTACCCATTCCCTACATATAATGCATCTGATTGTCAAAATACATTTTGTAACCTTTCATGATGCGAATGATAATCGTTTATGGAATACTACTTAAAAGTCATGATTACAATGTTTGCAAACACATTCATCCTAAAATCATCTTATGTACTAGTTAAACAAGGTTTAATCTATTAAAATATATATTTGTATGTTAGATGTTTACTTGGCAATGAAGTTATGTTTATATATTATTCAAATACAGGTGTAATAGTATACATATATATATATATATATATATATATATATATATATATATATATATATATACAAAACACATTCATATGTTTACATTTAAGACACATATTTTTCCCTAGCAGATAAAAATAACGAAAACAAAAGACAAAAAAAAAGTATTAAAAAGACTGCGTGCAACGTGAAGTCGATGATTATTCATTTAAGAAATGCATGCTGTTTTTTGTAATTTTATTGGGGTATAAAAGTGTTGACCGAAGCACATTTTGTATGTATCAGATTACTAAAAGAAGCATTCTTTTCTTATGATTACATTTTTATGCTAAGACCATAAAAAAAAGTGTTATCAAGTTTTTATTTTATTTACCTGTGCACTTTTTTTGTGGAAGCACGTGTCATCACGAATGTAACATTTCATTTTAATATGAAGGTTAATTTTTTAATGAAGCGCGATTGTTGTAAGCCCATCAAACTAACGGATTCTCGTGAAACATACATGTAATGTAATTATAAGGTATTACAAAATTATTCTATCTAAATTAATTCGTGTTTGTCTTGATGTGTTTCCTACTTACTATGTGTACTAGGTTAAATGAAGAAATATGATATAAACATCTATCTCGACGGTATTATTATAAAATATCGAGTCCCACCATTAAAAAGAAAACTGTCAAAAACGGTCAACCACAATTTGTAATTCTTAATTCCTTGAACAGCATATAAAACAAGTATGATAATGATATTCTCAGACGATATTATATATCGTTTTTTTATTTAATCTAACGTATATAAAAAAAAATAGGTCGAAAATAAATAACACACAGCCTTTGGTAAAATTAATAATTAAAACATTAGTTTTTTTTTACGCCCGTTTACGGGACGTATTATGGTATACCGTTGTCCGTCCGTCTGTTCGTCTTTCCGTCCGTCCGTCTGTTCGTCTGTCCGTTTGTCGTCAACATGTCGGACAATAACTCAGAAACTCTTTAACCAATTTGCATGAAACTTTGGTGATTTTTTATGTCTTGATGTGAGCTCCCTTTCGTTTTTGATAAATTATAGATTTTACGTTTCCTAGTTATGGGGTTTTATTCATTAAAAAAGGGGGATTTTCCAGTTTTCGGACAATAACTCAAAAACACTTTCACCATTTTGCAAGACACTTTGGTGAATTGTTTATATATATTGACATGAAATCCCTTTCGTTTTTTATAAATTTTAGATTTTACGTTTCCGCGTTACAGGGTTTTATTCAGTAAAACAGGGGTGATTTTCCAGTTTTCGGACAATAACTCAAAAATGCTTTCAGCAGTTTTCATGAATTTTTGGTGAATTGTTTATATCTATTGACGTAAGCTCCCTTCCGATTTTTTATAAATTTTCGATTTTACGTTTCCGAGTTATGGGATTTTATTCATAAAAAGGTGTGATTTTCCAGTTTTCGGACAATATCTTTAAAGTGCTTTGAGCAGTTTTCATGAAATTTCTGATATGACATTGAGAAGTTATTGAACTTTATTCTTTGAATGGCAGCTGTTTATTTAATTATTCGATACTGAAATGTTACCAACTGCTGTTAACATTATTCTGATATTAATTCATTCAACTTATTAAGCGACTATGAAACAGGTCAACCTGGATTATCATCTGAAATAAGTTCATTCAAACCATCATTGTTTTCTAACATCAACGCTAATAAACCAGGCGGTTAATTTATACTTTCATCGTCATAATTTCATCACTGTCGTCATCGTCATCATCTTCATCACTGTCGTCATCTTCATCATCTTCATCACTGTCGTCATCATAATCATCTTCTTGACTGTCGTCATCGTCATCATCTTCATCACTGTCGTTTGAAAAAGGTAGCCGGAAGGAAAAATTTATTCGTCCAAATTTCTTGCCAGATACTTCGACGTCTTCCTCATCTCCCTGTTCATCGTCTTCATCACCACTAATTGAGCCTTCCAATGATCTTTCAAGCAATTTTTCTATGCGCCTATGGCCAAATTTTCTTGCAATTTTTATTGGAGTTGTAAAACCATCATGTGCATAATATTCAACAACTCCAGTTTCTAAAAGTGACGTTACGATGTCCTTATTCCCATATTTACAGGCAGACATTAGGGATGTCCATCCGTCCTTGTCTTCAATGTTAACATTTGCTCCGTTACGAAGTAACATTTTAACTGTATCTTTGAGACCAACTTGGCAGGCAATTTTCAAAGGTGTCCAGCCATCACTGTCCGCTTTATTGATATCGGCACCATGATTCAAAAGTAGTTCTGCAACATTTGTATAACCCCTACAGCATGCCATTATAAAGGCTGTCCATCCTTTATTATCCACTTTGTCGATATCATCTACCTTGCTTAATAGAAGATTGACAAGATCAGTGTGTCCACCTTGACAGGCTGACATTAAGCATGTCGATCCATCTTCATCTACTAAATTGACATCGGCACCATTTTGAATCAAACATGCAACTATCTCCTCGTATTTCTTACTTAATATTGAATTCAATCTGTTTTTACGGTCACCGACACATGCGTCTTTCAGTGGACTCCATCCCCGTTTGTCAATTTTATTAACATTTGCCCCCTTTGGCACTAAAAACTTCACTGTTGATGCCTGTCCATTATTGCAAGCGATTCGTAAAGCTGTCCAGCCATCCACTTCTGTCATACCAATATCTGCATTGAAATTTAGGAGTAGTTCAGCGATATTATCATGTCCATGTTGACAAGCAGACATTAGAGGAGTCCAGCCATCGTTGTCTTGTTTATTCACCTCTGCTTTCCTTTCTAACAACAAGGCAACAGTTGAAATTTTTCCCATTTCACACGATGATTTCAATGGGGTCCAACAATTTGTGTCAGCTTTATCTACTTCTGCTTTATTTTGAATAAGAAAATCGACAATGTCGTTATGACCACCATCACAAGCAAATCTAAGAGATGTAAATCCGTCACTGTCGCTGGAGTTTAGATCTATTTTCGTTTTGACAATCAAACGAACAATTTCAATATGACCGTTTTGACACGCTGCCATCAAGGAATTCAAGCCTTTGTTGTCACACTTACTGGCCTCTGCACCTTTGGTAATTAAATATTCTGCAGTATCAAATTGTCCCTGTTTTGCCGATAGCATAAGAGCTGATGCGCCTTTCCTATCACATAAATTGATGTCTGCGTTATGCTGTACTAGCATTTTCACCACATCGAGACAGCCGTCTTGACTCGCAATCATTAAGGGAGTTCTATCTTTCTTATCAGCTAGATTTGGATGTGCATTATTCTTTAATAGGATTTTTACAGATCTCGCAAGACCCCCATTACATGCCATTCTGAGGGCAGTCTGTCCAACTTGGTTTTTGTGATATATATTTGCCCCTCTTTTCAGCAAGTTCTCGATGATGCCATCGTGTCCACCTTGACTTGCTAGCATAAGCAGACTATTGCCATTCCCATCAGTCGCATCGATTTCATCTTCACTTTCAATTAATATGTTAAATATTGATTCATAGCCACTCTTACAGACCCTTTGTATCAGGTCTTTCTCATTAGCATGTGTACCGTTTAGCAATGTTCGGATATCATATTCAAAAGGTGTATACGATCCTTGACTAACAAGGTAATCTACTATTGCATAATGCTCAGTGTAACAGGCGATTTCAAAGGCAGATGATCCAACAGGCGATTTCATGTTCATGTCAGCCTTATGATTCAGCAATAGCTTTATACTTGATAGTGGACCCTTTTCACAAGCCATCATAAGAGAAGTTAGTCCAGAGTTGTCACACTTATTTACATTAGCATGGTGTTTTAATAAGATTTCAGCAATGTCTGTATAGCCTTCGACACATGCAAACATCAAAGCCGTTTTTCCATCCAATGTTGGTAAATCTATGTCAATGCCTTTTTTAACAATGACCTCTACTATTTTCGTTTGGTTCATCTTACAGGCATGCATCAACATGGTTAAACCTTCGCAATCGTGAGAATTTAAATCAGCTTGTGTTTCATCAATGATTAATTCAACCAACGCTTTGAATCCGTTTTTACAAGCCATTGCGAAAACATCATTCTCGCCTCTCTTTTCATCACCACACTCAGTAGTACTGATACTCATTAGATCTTCATGCTTTAATTTAATTCTCTTTTCTATAAAATAATCTACAATGTCCCATGCTTTACCTTGTTTTGCCAATTTAAAAGGAGAACATGTCCTATCAGAATCAACAGTCATACTGGCTCCGTTTGAAACTAACGCTTTTACTGTGCGTAAATCCCTTTTTTCACAAGCATACATAATTGGTGATTTACCACGTCCATCAAATTTGTCCACGTCTGTCCCGTTTGTTATAAGTAACTCTATTAATGGCACATGTCCCTGGCTTGCGGCTGCTGTTAAAGGTGTGTATCCGTTATTGTCCGCTTTGTTTAGATAACCTCTGCAAGGAGTAGATCAACATTTTGTTCGTTTCCGTTCAAACATGCATGTATTAAAGGAGAAATACCCTGTTGGTCTGCTTGAAATATATCAGCTCCGTGCTTGAGTAGATATATCAATGTTTCCGTATTTGCATCTCTACAGGCTTTAGCCAGAGAGGATAAACCTTCTTTATCGAACTCGTCAATGAGGTCCTTTAACATGAAACGGTCAAGTTCAAAAGTTCTTCCTTTTTTTATAAATAAATCCAGAACAACAAAATGCCGTTTTTCAATCACCATTTTTAATGGAGTCATGACACCTATTTCTTTGGATTCAACACAGCGACCATGATCTAGTAAACATTGAATTATAGGAAGATGTCCAAATTCGCACGCTTTTAATAAAGATGCATTACTTTGGTCAGCTCCATTCTTAACAAGACTGTTTGCAATTTCATCATCACTGTTTTTAAAGGCAATGAGATAAGGGTTCCATCCATCTGGAGTAGATTTATTTACATCTGCTTTATAACGGATAAGCAGTTCAACAAGTTGATGGTTTTGTGTTTCGCAAGCGCTTATGAGCGGAGTGTAGCCGTTCCCGTCAACAATATTGATATTGGCTCCAGCTTTTATCAATAATTCAACAATTTCTATGAACAGCCCTTGGCATGCAGCCTTTAACGCACTTAAACCATTTTTGTCTGTGACATCTGTATCTACTCTATAATCAAGTAACTTCGAGACATTTTTCGTCTTCCCATACATGCAAGCTACTAAAAGAGCAGTTTGTCCAATATTATTTGTCTTTTTCCAATCTGCACCCTTTTCCAGCAACAGTTCAATAATTTCTCCATCACTATAGGTACATGCTATGATGAAAGGAGTGTCCCCTGTAGATTCACTATAACAATTGACATCTGCCTCGTATTCTAATAGAACACTGATGACTTTGAAATTTCCGACTTTGCATGCTGACATTAATGATGTCCATCCTTCATGATCAACTTCGTTAATCTCTGCTTTTTTCTTTAGTAGTTTTTTGACAATTTGATAATGGCCATTGACAGAAGCACTTTTCAGTGGCGTCCATCCTTCTTTGTCTTCTTTGTTTATGTCAGCATTGTTATTCAAAAGCAATTCTACCGTGTCTTTATCGCCTACCCTGCATGCTGTTTTCAGAGGACTCCAACCATCATTATCTAATAAATTAACATCAGCTTTGGCATTTATTAGGATCTCAGCAAGTTTGGGATTTTTATTTGTACATGCAATTTTCAGGGGAGTGCACCCTTTTTTGTCAGCTTTATTAACATTAGCTCCTTTTCAAATCAGAATTTATGAGGCTTTTATGTGTTCTCTAATACATGTGAAATGTAACGGCGTCCATCCGTTAACATCACAAACGTTGACATTTGCTTCATTCTTGATAAGAAACGTCATTACTTTTCTCTTGTTATTTTGACAGGCTGCAATCAATGGGGTTAATTTCGTCACACTCTGGTGGTTTACACATGAGCCGTTTTCTACAAGGAGTTTTGCAATTTTTTCGTAACCAAACTGACATGCTGACATGAGTTCCGTCCAACCGTCGTTATCATGATTGTCTAAAATGACTCCTTTCTTCAAAAGGCATTCGACGATTTCCGTGTGTCCGTTCGCTGCCGCAGTTTTAAGTGGTGTCCAACCATTTAAATCTGGTATGTTAATATCTGCTTCATGTGACATAAGTAATTTACATATCTTTAAATTGCCTTCCTTACATGCAGTTATGAGAGGCGTCCATCCGTCCGTGTCTTTCCAGTTTACGTTTGCTCCTGCATTGATGAGAAGTGAGGAAATCTTATAATGTCCGTTCTCGCATGCTATTTTAAGGGGTGTGTAACCTTTTTTATCAGGTTTATCGACATCAGGACGTTTCTGAAGAAGAAGTTCAGCAGCTTTATATTTTTTATCGTTACACGCAACTCTAAGTGGTGTCCATCCATCATTATCATCGAGATCAACGTTTGCATTATTTTCAAGAAGTAAATTAATGACTGCAACATGCTCGTTCTTAACTGCAGTCATGAGTGGTGTTATTCCGTCATTACTCCTATAATTTACATCTGCATTTCCACATATAAGGAGTTTTGCAACCTTTACATGTCCCTTTTGGCAACTTGACATAAGTGGAGTCCATCCACCATTGTCAGCTTTATCAATTTCAAGTCTATGTGTATTCAACAAGATCTCAACAACTTTACTGTGCCCATTCAAAGATGCTTTTTTCAGAGGTGTCCACCCGTCATTGTCTGCAATGTTAAGGTCTAAGATTTTTTCGATTAAAAGAACTTTAACAATGCTTTCTGCTCCTCTCTTACACGCTCGACTAAGCGGCACCCATCCTTCATTGTCACGGAAATTAATATTCGCTCCTAATTTGATTAGACTTTTCACTGTATCATTGTCCCCATTAGTACACGCCATGGCTAAAGATGTCTTCCCGAATTTATCTGTATTTTCGACATCGGAACCTTTGTTTTTTAGTAATGTGATAATATGGTCATGCTTTTCCTCAAACGCTATTACAAGTGGTGTTTTGCCATCTTGGCATACGGTTCTAGAGTCAGCATCATTGTCTAGAAGCAATGAAACGATATTTGTATGCCCACTTATACATGCATATTTAAGAGCGGACATTTTCCGGTTGTTTAACACGTTGATGTCTACCCCTTTTTTAATCATCAATTGCACTGTTTCATATAATCCCGTGTAACATGCTAACATTAAAGGAGTAGTTCCTAATGCATCAACTTTATCGAAAGTTGACCCTTCATCAATCAAAAAGTTTGCTATATCTTGATTTCCTCGTTGACAAGCAGCATTTAAAGCGGTCCATGAATCATCCCAAACAATATTCAGATTGACATCACTTCTTTTCAGCAATCTTACTACTGATAATGGGTATCCTTGATCAACTGTTATCCTAAACAGAGCAGACACGGTTTTATCTTTGATATTTTTATCTACATGGTGCAACATAAAAGAGACAAGCTCTTCATAGCCTTGGCTACAGGCCATCAATAATGGGGATCTCTGAAATTGTCCAGTGATAGCGATTTCTTGTAGCTCTTTTGTATTTATCATACCAATTATCCAATTCCCACCCATTTTGGTAACCTGAGCAATTAGTTTTTGTCTAAATGCAGGAACTTGCATTTGTCTGGAATAAAATACACTGTAATCTTTTCGAGACACATCATCAAGTATTCGACTAAAATAACGTTCCTCCTGCGTGTTATTTACAGAAACGAAGTCTTCCCCAAATTTTTCTTGTGTACATTCCAACACCAATTTTCCATAAAAAACCTTTCCATCAACCAACTGCAAGAACAACTCCTGCAAATCCTTATGTGCACAAAAGTAACAACAGAGAAAATGAAACATCATTGAATTCGAAATTCTGTACTGTTCCCCATCTTTTAAAACATAATTTCCGAAATGATCCAATAAGCTAGCTCTTACTTGACCACAGTCAAGTGAATATTTCTCTAGAATTGGTCGAATTAGATCTGTTTCCGGCTGAATTTCATGTTGTTTAAAACATAAACTGCTCATACAACCATTATGTATTGTAGTTAAAAACAATGCACAATGTTTTGACTTATCATTCAAAAACCATTCGTCCAATTGTTCTCTCCAAGTAATTTCAAATTCGACAGTTCTGACGGATTGTTGCGGTGCAAATTGACCTGAATATTCGGGTGCTAAGTCCTTTATATATTTACTGAAGAACGAATCAGCTTTCGAAAAAATCGTTTTCCAATAGACACCTGCGGTGAAAGAAATCATGATTTTCGTCTTGCCGGCTTGTAACATTTGTTTGAAACTACTGTCATGTTCAATAAAATACTGAACCGAGTCTTGTACAGGAAATGGCCGACCACAAGCATCTTCTAAAACAAACAATTGATACCTATCAAACTTATAGTGTTGTACAACTTCAACAGGGGATTTACAAGGAGTTATAAAATAGAAGTCATTTAGCTCTACAAACGCTAATGCAATATGATGTAAAAAAGCGTTTACTTCCTCGTTTTCTGTTCCTACTAGTGCCACACATGATGAGTCTTCAAGCTGTTTTTGCAGGCCACCAATGACACCTTTGATTTTGAAATTGTCTGTACTCTTTTTCCAGGTCCTGACTTCTAGTTTGTGTATATCTAAAAAAAATATTGTCGACATAGAACACTAAACCATGTATAGAATTACCTATGGATGGATGGGTGTGTGTGTGTTTATGTGAGTATAAAATTGAAAATGGAAATGGGGAATATGTCAAAGAGACAACAACCCGATCCAGTAGCAGAAAACAGCCCATGGCCACCAATGGGTCTTCAACACAGCGAGAAAATCCCGCACCGGAGGCGGGCGTCAGCTGGCCCCTAAACAAAAATGTGTACTAGTTCAGTGAAAATTGACGTCACACTAAACTCCGAAACATATAAATGAACTTAAATTAAAAAAAAAAAACATACAAGACTAACAAAGGTCAGAGGCTCCTGACTTGGGACAGACGCAAAAATGCGGCGGAGTTAAACTTATTTTGTGAGATCTCAACCCTCCCCCTATACCTCTAGCCAATGTAGAATAAAAAAACGTACAGCAATACGCACATTAAAACTCAGTTTAAAAGAAGTCGAGTCCGATGTCAGAATAGGTAATAGAAAAAACTAAGCAAAATGACAATGATACATAACGTTATAATGTTTTGACTAGTTTGTGATATCGAAAACCCTGGTGTTATAATTTTTCAGTCATACTGAGATTTCTTTCGTTAAAATTAAATACGATGCTACACACACGACCGAATTGAACAAGTTGAGATATATAAACACCATATGACGGTGACAAGGAATGTCACTATCTAAAAATGGATAATTAACAATAGGAAATGAAAAATCATCTCTTTTATCGTAAATTTTGGTATTAAGCTTCCCGTTAAAGATATAGATATCAAGATCCAGGAAAGGACAGTGTTCATTGTTAGTATTAGCTTTATTTAAAGTCAGTTCAGCAGGGTAAATCTCTTTAGTGTACATATTGAAGTCGTCATTATAGAGAGCCGATATATCATCCAAATATCTAAAAGTGTTATTAATTTTTTGTATCAGATGTTGTTTCGATGGGTCTTTGCGGATTTTAGTCAAAAATTGTAACTCATAACAATACAGAAACAAGTCCGCAATAAGTGGTGCACAGTTAGTCCCTTTGAAATTCCTATAACTTGACAATATACGAAATCTTCATAGCGAACAAAAATGTTATCTAGTAAACGTTCAAGTGCAGTTATCGTATCAAAGCAGGTCCAATTGACATAGTTCTTTTGTTTGGTGTTTCTAAAAAATGACCTAAAAGAGTTTGAACATATATATTCGCATTCTGACTTTTTAAATGCCCATTTAATTAGGTGTGTGAATTTTTTTCGTAATGAGATTATGAGGCAACGTGGTATATGGGGTAGAAAAATCAAAACTTTGACCAGATTCGAAATCACCAATATAAAAATGCTATTATTAAGTACTTCCAACGAATTTTTGACACTCTTAAAGTAAGTTATAGATACCACATAACACTGAATCTGTCAATGCTCTGTAAATCATAATAGTTATATACAATACAAGACTATTATTGTATTTACCTTGGCAGGAACACCTGTACGGTTCATTACTATTTTTATCTTCATCTTGAAGAATCGCTTCTAAAATATCCTGGTTCCCGTTTTTTTCATCGTTCGCTATTGACTTCTGTCGAGATACTTGACTGGAAAGTTGACGAAGAACTCTATTGTATTTTTCGTTGAACTTGTTACCACAAAGCCTGAGAACAGCCTTAAATAGAAGTGCATCAAAACATTAATACAGGATATGTTGATAGAAGGTAAACATGGTGAAGTTTAGAAGAAATTGGATACTGGAAAACGTCATACAATTAAGATCTATGACATACTAGTAATTTTCGTTAATGAAATATCAATATATTTAAAAGGAAGAGGTATGATAAAAGCCATTTTTTGGACACTGCAGTTTCATAGCAACATTCTTTTAGCTTTTCACATTTTGTATAAATTTTTATTTGAAGATAAATCTCTACACGAATATGCACAAATGTCATTTATACTGCCACTATGATGTCAAAACTATATTAAAATTGACATGATCATCTAGCAAATACCTTCTGCACAAAATAGATGTATTCTAACAAAATATTTTGTATCAATGATAACACTATTAAATACCACCAAATGTAGCAAAATACCTTGGCCCATATCTTACTATTAATGACAATACACAGGCACAAATAGAAAAGAAGAAAATACAAACATAAGTCTACAAAAAATTATATAGTAAACTAAAGATTGAGCAACAATCACCCCACCAAAACTCGGAGGTGGTAACAGGTGCTCCTGATGGGTTAGACGATGCTGCTCCAAGGAGAACAGACGATTCCCGTAGGAATCCCGATTGTTTGTTGAATACCCGCCCTCATAACGTAACAAATATGTTGCCCAAAATCAATCACAATGAAAATGTCAAATCAGCGAATGCTTTGTTTGAATTAAGTTGTAATTTACTTAGTATGATCAAATCAGATATCTGCATCTACGTTGGCAATTTTTTTATGAAATAAAAATGAACCAATTCTGTCAGTTTTTCTTCATGTTTTGAATGGGGAATACTAGGATAGAAAAATCAAATATTTTCTACTATTACAAGAGGAAAGATAATCAGATTGTATGTTTACTGGTATCATTCCCGTTGTTTGGTTTAGGCGACCATTTCATTTGAAGAAATATTCCGATATCTACAAAAGATATCAACTTTGCTGTTAACGACACAAATTTGGCAGAGGTAACTCGGACACTTAGATTTTCATCATTGGAACCAAACAGTACTCATTTAAAAGCACTTGGAAATATCAACACATGGCAAATTATATATAACATAAGAGATCTAAAGATAATGTTATTTTTATCAACATCGTTCATGCATACGTACCATATAAACACATTTTAATTCTTCTTCAAATTCTTTTGCTGAAATCGATTTCAGTGGATAATTTTGATAACGTTTCCTAGTCAAAAAGATTCTAGATAAATCGGCTTGTGTACTTTTATCATCTATAGACGGCATCTTGTCAAACTGCATGGTTGGAACCTCTTGTTCTTTTGAACTTAACCAAAAACGTAGTAGTAGAACAAGATCATAATCCATAGACGATGTGGTTACGTAATTATCTGTAAAAATTCAAATCAAAGTTGATTGATTGTCAAATTTTAATTACAAAAAAGTGTTTGGGAATATTCATTATTTTTTCAATTCTGAAATTCTAGGGTAAAAGAGAGGCGAAAGATTACAGAGGGACATTCAAACTCATAAGTCAAAAACAAACTGTAAACGCCGTGGCAAAAACAGAAAAAGACCAAAATACAAACAACAGTATACAAATCACAACATAGAAAACTAAAGACTGAGCAAAACGAGCCACACGAAATCCGGGGCTGATCTCAGGTGCTCCGGAGGGGTAAACAGCTCCTGTTGTACATGTGGCACCCGTCGTGTTGCTCATGCAAGTACAAATCGGTGATGATTGTAATTCGGTTGGTCACATTTGGGGAAAAGGAAGACGGCCGGGATTGTGGTTACGACACTTGGAACATATCCGTCGTCATCTGTGAAACAGATATTCAATAACGGTCAACCAACTCGTGATAGCGTCCGTAAAAATTTCGAAGGGATGACTTCAACTTCAACACCTGGAACTCTTGGCTTAATACCTTGTGAGCAGCAACCCCCTATCGAGGAAGTCATGATAGGAAACGCAAGCCCAGGAATTTCGTATAAGCTGGGAGATGTATACTCCATATGTAGGCGCTGCTGGAATGTTGCTACATCATGATGGAAAGTTCACAATTGAAAAGCTGAAATCATCTCTTTTTGTCGTAAAGTAAATTAAACAAATACGGATTGCTAAACCTTAATCTATACAATGATATATATATTGTTATTGAATTGTGCATATAAAATTTGCAAGGAAATGGTAAGTATTACCCAATCTCGTGTCTGGATTAGTCGATAAAAATATTTTGAAAATACGTCGTCAAAGTAATACATATAGTATGATTCCAAAGATAGATTTATCTGTTATACTGTAATGTATAAATTTGTAGTCATTACTTCGTGCAGTGGTAATTTGTAATGAACAATTAATGAAGCTGATAGATCAAAATTAGAGAACTAAATGGACCAAGATCTTACAAAACATCTGTTTCCGTAATCTATTTCGCCTTGTCCGTGTGCATGTTTGTCACCTGTGAATTATCAGGTAATGAAGATTTTGTTAATGGACACTCTTAAAACATAATATAAATTATACCTCTCGTGCAGTAGATGGACTCCTTTTGATCTATAGACAATGAATTTAAAAAGTGTGCTGCAGTATCCAAATGAGTAATTTCCAGATTTGTATCTGATATTTTCTCTTCAATTTTCTGAATTATAGCTGTGTTTGCCATGTGGATAAGTTTTTCTAAATGAAGAAAATTCTTTTTCTCTTCCTTTACTTTTGTCTCTTCACATATAACTGTAATATAACAATTCGTATATACATATTATATCAGTTAAGGATTATGTACCCTTTGTTGTACAAAGAAGATTTCAGTACACTATTTGATAAACAAAGAAACAACGTTTGTAGTAAAAACAAATTGATACGTGATCCGAATACGGATATCGTAAAAATAGTCTATTAACGTGGACTTAATCTTGATTCATTTCGATAATCATTCAGACGTATAGACCCTATTACCTTGCAATTAGAACAAGAATTGGGAAAATGTATATCTAACTTGCTAAAAGTCATCTAACGGTCAGGAGTATCGTTCTTTTACTTAATCATGTTATCATGTTAATCGAAATATAAATGTTTGTAAAAACCATTGTTTGGAATGTCTCACAAAAGTGCTTGGAATAAACAGCAAAACTGGTAATTCTACATATTCTTTAACATCATTAACAAAGGATGAAAGTTTAGAAAATCACAAATCTGTCCTTCTTTCTCTTGGTATTAACATCAAAGAAAACGAAGAAAATCTACCGTCATTATACCGGATACCGAAACTTCACAAAACTCCCTATAAAGAACGATACATTGTTTTATGTTGTTTGTTTTACAGTGTTTACTGGTTGGTCTTACATGATCTTGCCTTATATTACAGTTATTTTATTTTTATTTTCTATATGTCTGTTAAAGTTAAGATAAAAAATTAGCTATTTAATTTATATGATTTTAAGTTCAAAGCGACTATATGCACAGGATTGTTTTGTTTATACACAGTTTTGATTTAGAAAAAAACACGACATGGTTAGAAAATACAAATAATAACACCATTAAAAACACAAATCCATTTTAATATTGTTGTCATGGTTAAAAAATACATAAAATAACACCATTACAAACTCAATCCCAATTTAATATTCTTGTATGAATAAAACCAATTTATTTTATTTTTAGAAATTTACCTGTGATAATATAAACGTCACAAAAATACGTTACTTTTTATGGTGTTGATCCATTCATGTGACGCGTAGTTTATATTTCGTTTGTGGTGTACTGTACTGTCGTAAATTCATGGTTTATGTAGTCCTCAGTGCTGAGTGTTCTTGTGTTTGTTTGTACTGTATTCTTGTCACGTAGTGTTGTCATTTTAGCGGTATTTTTAACATTGCCATATAAGTAGGAGGTTTGGCTAGCCATAAAACCAGTCAACCCACCAGTTTTTCTTGAAATGTCCTGTACCAAGTCAGGAATATGGCAGTTGTTATCAAAAAGTCCGTTTCTATGTATGTTGGTGTTTGTTTTTGTTGCAGTTCAGTGTTTCTGTTGTTCCATTTTTTTTTCCTCTTATAGTTGATGTGTTTCCCTCGGTTTTAGTTTGTAACCAGGATTTGTTTTCGCTTAATCGATTTATGACTATAAAACATCGGTATACTACTGTTGCCTTTATTTATTCATATTTATCAAAGCTTTCTTACTACTCAAGATAAATCATTCGTACGAAATGTTTACAGTCTTTGAACGAACTGCAAATAACAAAAAAATACCTTTTGTTACACATTTAACGACTTTGCTGGGAATACTTTCAGTAACACATGGTAATTGGCATATTCCGTCAAGACTTGTTGGACCATTGGAGGCTGTTGCAATGGTAAACGAATATTCAGTTTGAGAAGATACACCTGACATCAAAATACTCCCATCGCCATTTTTATTAGGTTTGATATCCCTAGTTTGCTTTTCATCGTTAAGATTGGTCATTTCCAATTTATAACATTGAATTTTGTCAATTGCAGGATAGTCAGGACAAGTCCAAGAGACAATTACTCCATTTGGTCTGGGAGTAGCTGTGACATCCATTGGAGGTAATGGTTCTATAAGAAAAAAAACAGTAATAAAATGTTATCCTGTGATTGCCGAACACTCATTGTGATCGATATAGGTTTCAAACAATAAAAAGGGCTTCTCTATAAATACTGAGTGAAGTTTTTTAAGACATGTTAAAAATGTTGCTCCAACGTTACTTCCTAATACTACTACTACTACTTATAATAATAATATAAAAAAAATAATAATAATAATTATAATAACAATAATAATAATAATAATAATAATAATTAAAAACCAATTGTTCAAAGAACAATTGAAGGTCTTTCCACATAAATTTTCTCAATAATTGATGAGAAGATAATTCTGGTTTACTCAAAGCTACTATTGGCGTCCAATCATAGGTTTCTTCATACTGATTCAATAAACATGGTTTTTATAAACTTTTGCCTGAAATAAGGGAGATAATTGTCAACATCCGGTTTAGAAAATGTCACTTCCGGTCTCATATGATAGCTTTATTTACACTGATTCCAAAAATATATGGTTTATATATACTTTTGCCTGAAAAAGGGAGATAAATGGCTACTTCCGGTTTAGAAAATGTCACTTCCGGTCTCATATGATAGATTTATTTACACTGATTCCAAAAATATATGGTTTATATATACGTTTGCCTGTAAAAAGGGAGATAATTGGCTACTTCCGGTTTAGAAAATGTCACTTTTGGTCTCATATGATAGCTTTATTTACACTGATTCCAAAAATATATGGTTTATATATACTTTTGCCTGTAAAAAGGGAGATAATTGGCTACTTCCGGTTTAGAAAATGTCACTTCCGGTCTCATATGATAGATTTATTTGCACTGATACCAAAAATATATGGTTTATATATACTTTTGCCTGTAAAAAGGGAGTTAATTGGCTACTTTCGGTTTAGAAAATGTCACTTTCGGTCTCGTATGATAGCTTTATTTACACTGATTCCAAAAATATATGGTTTATATATACTATTGCCCTTAAAAAATGATATAATATGCTACTTCCGGTTTATAAAATGTCACTTCCGGTCTCAAATGATAGAAAAATGTATGACATTCAAAAAATATATGGTTTTTATGTACTTCTACATGAAATAAGTGCAAAAATGACTACTTCCGGTTCACTCAAGGTCACTTCCGGTTGACATTTTTCAAGGTCATATGTCACCCAACATTTTGCAAAAGAACTTATGGCTTTATCATGTACCAATATGAAGTAATTATCAATTTACCTTAAAATAAAACATTTCAGGGGCAATAACTCCAATAAGATGTCGCTGGATTGTCTCAGACCAAATGTATCATATCTTCATCACAATATAACAAACATTTTGCACTTGTTCTTTAATATATAACATTAAAAATATCGGAGAAAATGCAAAAACAAGCAAAAGACAAAATTCAGAACATGACCTTGACCTTTGACCTTGACCTCATTTTCGAAGTTAGGATCCAAGGACCTTAAATAAAAAGACTATAGGTTTATACGGCTTACAGTTTATGAGTAACAAAAACATAACGACAAATTTATTTGATAAAGGTAGATAACTCCTATAAAATTTCATCGAATCGCTTCGATCCAAATTAGCCAAACATTCCTGAGGATGTAACGAACAATTTAGAAAAAGAATTTTGTCGATATCTTTTTTTGTTACGAAGAAGATGCACACACTTGATCAACAGTGAATAGGGAGATAACTCTTACAAAGATAATTGTTCGGCTTAGCAGGGTGAAATTTAAAAGCGCATAAACTATACGATACAATATGAGAAATATCTAAGCGACATATTGCGAAACAAAAATTTCAAAAGTTGGCAGAAAAAAAAAAAAAAAATAATAATAATAATAATTAAAAAACCAATTGTTCAAAGAACAATTGAAGGTCTTTCCACAAAAATTTTCTAAATAATTGATGAGAAGATAATTCTGGTTTACTCAAAGCTACTATTGGCGTCCAATCATAGGTTTCTTCATACTGATTCAATAAACATGGTTTTTATAGACTTTTGCCTGAAATAAGGGAGATAATTGTCAACATCCGGTTTAGAAAATGTCACTTCCGGTCTCATATGATAGCTTTATTTACACTGATTCCAAAAATATATGGTTTATATATACTTTTGCCTGTAAAAAGGGAGATAATTGGCTACTTCCGGTTTAGAAAATGTCACTTCCGGTCTCATATGATAGATTTATTTACACTGATTCCAAAAATATATGGTTTATATATACTTTTGCCTGTAAAAAGGGAGATAATTGGCTACTTCCGGTTTAGAAAATGTCACTTTCGGTCTCATATGATAGCTTTATTTACACTGATTCCAAAAATATATGGTTTATTTATACTTTTGCCTGTAAAAAATGATATAATATGCTACTTCCGGTTTATAAAATATCACTTCCGGTCTCAAATGATAGATTAATGTATGACCATTCAAAAAATATATGGTTTCTATGTACTTCTACATGAAATAAGTGATAAAATGACTACTTCCGGTTCACTCAAGGTCACTTCCGGTTGACATTTTTCAAGGTCATATGTAACCCAACATTTTGCAAAAGATCTTATGGCTTTATCATTTACCAATATGAAGTAATAATCAATTTACCTTAAAATAAAACATTTCAGGGGCAATAACTCCAATAAGATGTCGCTGGATTGTCTCAGACCAAATGTATCATATCTTCATCACAATATTACAAGTATTTTGCACTTGTTCTTTAATATATAACATTAAAAATATCGGAGAAAATGCAAAAACAAGCAAAAGACAAAATTCAGAACATGACCTTGACCTTTGACCTTGACCACATTTTCGAAGTTAGGATCCAAGGACCTTAAATAAAAAGACTATAGGTTTATACGGCTTACAGTTTATGAGTAACAAAAACATAACGACAAATTTATTTCATAAAGGTAGATAACTCCTATAAAATTTCATCGAATCGCTTCGATCCAAATTAGCCAAAAATTCCTGAGAATGTAACGAACAATTTAGAAAAAGAATATTGTCGATATCTTTTTTTGTTACGAAGGAGATGCACACACTTGATAAACAGTGAATAGGGAGATAACTCTTACAAAGATAATTGTTCGGCTTAGCAGGGTGAAATTTAAAAGCGCATAAACTATACGATACAATATGAGAAATATCTAAGCGACATATTGCGAAACAAAAATTTCAAAAGTTGGCGGAAAAAAAAAAAAAAAAAAATAATAATTAAAAACCAATTGTTCAAAGAACAATTGAAGGTCTTTCCACATCAATTTTCAAAATAATTGATGAGAAGCTAATTCTGGTTTACTCAAAGCTACTATTGGCGTCCAATCATAGGTTTCTTCATACTGATTCAATAAACATATGGTTTCTATAGACTTTTGCCTGAAATAAGGGAGATAATTGTCAACATCCGGTTTAGAAAATGTCACTTCCTGTATCATATGATAGCTTTATTTACACTGATTCCAAAAATATATAGTTTATATATACTTTTGCTTGTAAAAAGGGAGATAATTGGCTACTTCCGGTTTAGAAAATGTCACTTTCGGTCTCATATGATAGCTTTATTTACACTGATTCCAAAAATATATGGTTTATATATACTTATGCCTGTAATAATGGAGATAATATGGTACTTCCGGTTTATAAAATATCACTTCCGGTCTCAAATGATAGATTAATGTATGACCATTCAAAAAATATATGGTTTCTATGTACTTCTACATGAAATAAGTGCAAATATGACCACTTCCGGTTCACTCAATGTCACTTCCGGTTGACATTTTTCAAGGTCATATGTCACCCAACATTTTGCAAAAGATCTTATGGCTTTATCATGTACCAATATGAAGTAATAATCAATTTACCTTAAAATAAAACATTTCAGGGGCAATAACTCCAATAAGATGTCGCTGGATTGTCTCAGACCAAATGTATCATATCTTCATCACAATATAACAAACATTTTGCACTTGCTCTTTAATGAATAACATTAAAAATATTGGAGAAAATGCAAAAACAAGCAAAAGACAAAATTCAGAACATGACCTTGACCTTTGACCTTGACCTCATTTTCGAAGTTAGGATCCAAGGACCTCAAATAAAAAGACTATAGGTTTATACGGCTTACAGTTTATGAGTAACAAAAACATAACGACAAATTTATTTGATAAAGGTAGATAACTCCTATAAAATTTCATCGAATCGCTTCGATCCAAATTAGCCAAAAATTCCTGAGAATGTAACGAACAATTTAGAAAAAGAATATTGTCAATATCTTTTTTTGTTACGAAGGAGATGCACACACTTGATAAACAGTGAATAGGGAGATAACTCTTACAAAGATAATTGTTCGGCTTAGCAGGGTGAAATTTAAAAGCGCATAAACTATACGATACAATATGACAAATATCTAAGCGACATATTGCGAAACAAATATTTATCGCAAGAACAAAATTTGGCGGAAGAAAAAAAAAAAATAATAATAATAATAATAATCAGAACAAATACAATAGGTCTTTCCACCGAAAAGTGGAAAGACCTAATAATAATAATAATAATAATAATCAGAACAAATACAATAGGTCTTTCCACAGAAAAGTGGAAAGACCTAATAATAATAATAATAATAATAATCAGAACAAATACAATAGGTCTTTCCACAGAAAAGTGGAAAGACCTAATAATAATAATAATCAGAACAAATACAATAGGTCTTTCCACAGAAAAGTGGAAAGACCTAATAATAATCAGAACAAATACAATAGGTCTTTCCACAGAAAAGTGGAAAGACCTAATAATAATGTTTGTGAAATAGTACAAGTAGTAAAAACCTAAAGAGTATAGGGAACAATGAAAATTCAGAATTCGCAAAATGGTGGACAGGATAATGACTGAAGACAAAAGGAATATGGGAACAGTAAATCAAACCACTTCACATAAAAAGTTAAATTTAGCCACACGAGTCCCGTCATAACGCTAGGTACTATTAATACTGTGATGTGGGGATTCAGTTTAGCTATTCATATTGACACGACGACATACATTTAGCATTTAACACAGATGTTTCAATAAAATTGCCTTCTGTCTAATTTGGAGACGATTTACTGTACCAATGTGAAAAAATACATGAACGCAACTGCTATCACTGCTGCTAATACTACTAATTGATAATCGAAAAAAAAGGAATTCAGTTTAGATAAAAATAAAATAATGCGTTCTTGCACTCTGAGTCCACATACTTTTGGATCGGAACATTGAGTAAAATGTTTTGTTCTCCGTTTTCGTGCTTAGTAATAATCTGGTAAGTTAAACCCTTTGCAACTGATCTTTAAGCTTATTGTTTTTGTAAAAGCCTGCTGTCCAGATGTTGTCATTCGATACTGTCTGTCATAATTGTATTTTGCATTAATGTTACAGCATTAATTAGACTGTAGGTTTTTCGTTGAATTGTTCGAAATCAGGTACTTGTTATAGCTAACTAATAGAGATTGTTTGTGTTTATTGTCAAAATTCATTTGTTGACCTGTAGTTATTTACACGTTTTGATCTTTTGTTGGTAGCTGTTTAAATGGCATACCATATGTACTTATTTTATGTACTGCTATAAAAAAAAACCTGAAAATTTAAATACATATCAAAACGATACCAACTACTATATATATATATATATATGTACTATCACGTTTTCATGTCAGGGCATTCTAAAGCCGACTATACGGTATGAGTTTTTCTCATTGTTGAAGGCCATACGGTTGCCTATAATTGCTTACATCCACTTCATTTGAACTTTAGTGGACAGTTGTCTTATTGGTAATCATACCACATCTCTTCATTTATAATGCTTATCTGTTAATAAATAATTGATTAATATTCAATTTGTGTTGTTTGTCAACACATGTTTTATTGCACAATACCTGGTGTTTTACATTGGATTTCATCAGTATATTCACTCTCAGTTTTAATTCCACTTGATTGGTTCTCATCTGTTTGAATCTCAGTCCCAGTTCTTACACTTGTTGACATGCGAATGGAATAAGATGTTGACGGGAACACTTTAGATATTAGGAATGATGTCTTGTCTGACTCTACGTTTATAATTTCTTTGTTACCTGCATTGACTTCCAATATAAAGTGGCAAATCTTAGAAAGCGTTGGATATTCTGGTACAGACCAAGATATATGGATGCCTTTGAAGTCGGTCAATGCTTTCAAATCCTTAGGCGGAAGTGGTTCTACCAAGAAAATAAGCAAAGTCAGATTTATAAGAATGCACATTTATTCAATCATGTGATTATTTTTATGGTTTCATTCACGTTGCAGTGCCCAGGATGCACTGTCGTTGTTTTTTTAATCCTTTGTCTTGATCAAGGCAATCATAATTTACAATTGATTTGATATTGGAATTCCATAACATTATTGAAATCTACCTTAAAAAAAGTAGCAAGTTGGTTCTAAATATCCTACACATGATTGTGAAACCAGTGCAAACAGCTCTCATTTGGATTAAAATAAATTTCGATCTTAAACACATGTTATGTCCTTAAATTACACGTTTTTTAAAAAATATTAACCGACTTTCAGGTGAAACACACAAAAGAAAACATATCACTGAATCAAACAGACCTATTATCTGAATTTCAGTCACATGTTTTTTACGAGATACCTCTCACTATTCTTTCCTCGACAGAAAACCCGGCAAATATGAAAGACAATATGCTGCTGAAGACATTTGTACCCTTTAAATTCTTTATTTTTTTCCCAAAGTTTAGATAAGTATTGCGGGTGATGGAAGCATAGCTAAAGAAGGTTTCCCTGTCGACGGAACAGGTTTGCTGAGTAAATACAAATTCGACAGGTTTTTCGTTTGGTTTGATTATTCTTAAATAAATTATGGGTTCTAAAATCATTTTGTTTATCACACTGTTTCTGATTTACAAAAGCAAATGTTGAATATATGTACTTTACTAATGCATTACATTTTTGTTAAAAATATACCAGTTTCATTGGTGATTCTGTCATTACATGACAAAAAAAAAATCACTTTAAAAGCATTATTGTTTTACCAATACATGCTGAATTTTTTACTTGCACATGCGTTGAGACAAGACGGAGCACAACCGTCATTAAAAAAGGTATTCACACATAAAGTCCATTTTGTAATAAAATAATGAATAAGGCGACGGTTGTGCTGTATGGTTATTTAGCCAAAGAGAGACGAAAGTTACCAAAGGGATAGTCAAATTAATCTGTAAAATCAAACTGATAATGCCATAGCAAAAAAGGAAAAACGAACAAAAAGAAAAATAAAAAAAAAACATACAAAACACTGCCAATGTATATGTGTTCCGCCTAACAGAACTTTCACTAGACATCTCAAGCGCTCCTGAAGGGTTAGCAAGTTTTGCTCCACTTGTAGCACCCGTCATATTGCTCACGTAACTACAAACCCGCTGATAAGTCTAATTCAGCAGGAATGTTTTAGCCAAAATGTACCTTAAACTGATGTTCTTTTACTAATATCTTAAACTAGTCTTTCTTATGACAACGAAGAGTAATTAAATATTTAAGTTATTCAAAATCTTGCTATATCAGGTGATCTATGTCTGGGGGGGTAGAACAACCGTGGTGTTGAAGTATTTCAAATAATTCATGAAATGTAATTTGAAACCGTATCAAAGATATTCTATGTCTATGATATGATTATGATAATGAATTTTGATTAAAAAGGTTATAAAAAACCGGTGGTAGTGTATTTATACTGACAAACACTAGCAAACAAATTAATTATCACCAATCCGTACAAGTAGTAGTCAGTTTTAAAAAAAAAAATTAGTCGTTTTATATTTATTCATGGCGTTTTAGAACAGTTTCATTAATTGCATAATACCTTGTGTTTTACATTTGACCATCTCTGTATATTCACTCTTAGTTTTGATTCCACTTGATTGCTCCTTATCTGTTTGAATCTCATTTGGAGTTCTCACACATGTTGCCATACAAATGGTATAAGATGTGGATGGAAAGACATCAGAAATAGTCACGAAAGTCTTGTCTGACTCTACATTGATAGTTCTTGTGTTACCCCCATTGACTTCTAATAAAAAGTGGCGAATTTTATCTATCGTTGGATATTCTGGGACAGACCAAGTAATGTAGATGCCTTCGAGGCTAATTGATGCTTTCAAGTTGTTTGGCGGAAGTGGTTCTACAGAAACAATAAAAGACAAATCACATTATATATTATCCGACCATGAGTGATGTGAATTTACTTAAAGTTCGGTGGATATCTTTGTTCATGCTTTAGCAATATTTATCAGTTTCCCGTGATAAAAAATGTCTTTTTCCTATCATTGCTTGTTTCTGTCAAGTCAACCGCAACTTTATAGTAAATGAAATATATGAATTAATTATTTATCAAATTAAATTTATTCAAGAATGTGAGTAACGCTTGTGTTAACTACCAGTGTTGTAGGAACTGTATGTTTTTCTACGCATTCTCAATATTATTATATTCAACGTCATCGACAATATCTTGACAACAGCCATTGTTGTATGACGTCAGATGGGTGATATTATTGGATTCAATTCACATGTGAGATTAATATGTTTTATTTTACTGAGACATTATGGTACTTCATTGCAAGCAATGTTATAAGTACTTTTAACTTTTAAGCAACACAACGGACACCACACATTAAGCTACGTAGCCCCTCCGGAGCGCCTGATTTAATCATCGGTTGTTGTTGTGTTTCTCGTTGCTCAGTCTTTCTACTTTCTATGTGGTGTATTGTCTTATATTCTTTTTAATTCTTTGCCTTGGCCTTGTCAGTTTTGAATGTCCTCTTGGTATCGTTAGCCTTGTTTTAAACCATAAAATGCTCGAGATTTAAATCATAAAAAGTGAATCATCGATAGCATATCCGGAAAGAAAATCAATTGCAAACTTATCTTTCAGCGATGTATTATCAACGCTATCAAATAAAGTTGACATAACTTGAAATAACACGAATTTGAATACAAGAATTAAAAAAAAATTGCTTTCACAACGATATAGTATCTATTGAATAATCTCATTATCAACAGAAAGAGTTAAACAGATGTATATTTTACCTATAGCAGTACATTTGACAGGGGCGTTACTTTTACTTTCACATTCATTTTCAAACGTGCCACAACACGTTTTAATGGTAAACAAATACGTCTGAGATGGCAAAACATCGTGCATTAAGTAAGAAGTCTTGTCTACCGAGGAATATATGATATCCTTCTGAGCATTGCTTATTCTTTGAATCTTATACTTGTTAATCTTTGCAAAAGATGGATACTGCGGCGGAATCCACGTAAGGTTAATGCCACTTATTCCTGCTGTAGCTTTTAAATCTCGTGGTGGTTCTGGATCTAAACGATAACAGGTAAAATTATCAATTATAGAAAAAAGTAGCCTAAAAATTTACATGGTCTATTTTATTTTTAATTCATATAAAATGAAATATATTGTAGGTTTTCAAAATTGCAGGGTATGCATTGATGAAAACATTCAATTTAAGTATTAAAATGAATATATGACTCTCCTTCTTATCCCAAAAAGTAGTAAAGATTAAAATGAAATATGAAAATCGGTAAATAAATTATGTTTTCACGGAGAGAGACTTTTAACACGGGTGGCACATGTTGAGCAGGATCTGCTTACCCATCCGGAGCACCTGAGATTACCCAGTTTTTGATGGGGTTCGTGTTGCTCAGTCTTTAGTTTTCTATGTTGTGTTAAGTGTTCTATTGTTTGTCTGTTTGTCTGTTGGTCTTTTTCTTTTTTAGCCATGGCATTGTCAGTTTATTTTCGATTTATGAGTTTGAATGTCCATTTGTTAACTTTCGCCTCTCTTTTAAGACATTAATTGGTATCCCAAAATACAAAATCTGTTAAATTATTGCACACATGGCTTTGTCTCATCGGGAAAGAATCATAATTTCTTTATATGACTACAAACATCATTTTACGACATGGACTGGTTAAAATTCTTTTTTGTTAACATTCATTAATGTTCCGAAATTAAATTTGGATTTCACCTTATTCGTAGCCGAATCATATTAGTACTGACACCATAGTAGAAGTTTCTATGATACGGTATAATGTACTATTTGTTCCCAATAATAGATGGGACCTTGAATTATACTGTAAAGTAGTATTGACCTCTATATAAAAAGGAGTTTGGGAGTTAAATATTCTAGACTGATTAGATTCAATATATCATACTACAATCTATGTTTTGCTGCGCGTAGCGGCTTAAATCTCAACTACAGGCGTCAGTTTGTGGATTTTATATTTTTATGGCTTTTTACACAAAGATAAAAAATATGCGGTTTAGTTGTGCAATCGTAGTTCCCTAAACGATGTTAATAAATGATAACCATTGTAATTTTCATTGTTATTGATATATGTTATATCAGTATTACAAACCTAATCTTGAACTCTATCCTATTTTTTGGAAATTAATAGATATTTAAATGTGACGTCACATTGTGCGTCGATTTCTTCGGCTAACATATAATACGTTGTTCGGCTGTGCCTTTTTATTTGCTGAATTAGGTTGTTTTATGTATTCGTTTTTATTCTGTAGTTAGTCACCACATCGGTGTTAACATGTATATCTATTATATAGTCATTTTTATAAATTTACTGTTTGCAAAATTATGAATTATTCTAAATACTAAGGATTTTCTTATCAAAGGCATAAAACCTTAGCCGTATTTGGCACAACTTTTTGGAACTTTTGGTCCTCAATGCTCTTCAACTATGTACTTGTTTTGGCTTTTGAACTTTTTTTATCTGAGCGTCACTGATGGGTCTTATGTAGACGATACGCGCGTCTGGCGTATTAAATTATAAGCCTGGTACCTTTTAATAGCTATTATTTCTGTGTGTCTCTGTTCTGTATGTTCTCCCATTTATTTGTATTGTAGTCCTTTCATGTAATCTTGTTATTTCAATGTTATATTTAACATTGCCATAAAAGCGGGAGGTTTGGCTAGCCATAAAACCAGGTTCAACCCACCATTTTTTTCTTAAACTGTCCTGTACCAAGTCAGGAAAATGGCCATTTCATAGTTTGTTTCAGTGTGTGTTGCATTTTAGTGTTGAGTTTCTGTTGTGTCGTTGTTCTCCTCTTATATTTGATGTGTTTTCCTCAGTTTTAGTTTGTAACCCGGATTTGTTTTTTTCTCAATCGATTTATGAATTTCGAATAGCGGTATACTACTGTTGCCTTTATTTACTACAATAATATTATTGGCATGTTTCCCTTATTGAGTGTTACTCGAAGAAAAGGTTGCTGGACTGGTATGTAATGTTAACGACACCTGATTCCTCATCATTTTCGTCATACGGGTTTTATTAAACGCAGTGAAGTTTTTTTTTGATAACTTTTTATTCAAAATTCCAGACAGAGTCATAAAGTCTTGTTCTTTAAATGTAGAATAATAAAATAGAGAAGAAACTCTACGGAAGATTATTATAAAACTGTATTCTAACACATGGTTTGTCGCTGTCTAGTTTTATTTTGTATTTTTTACCATAAAGCAATATCTGAAATATATTCCAACACTCTGCATATCCTACGTATTGATATATTAATACATAATTTAATATTTTCCATTTGATGATATGAAAACAATAACTATTGTACATATTGAATATAACAAACAACTTTTTGATCTTATAATTGGTTTATACAGATATAAGATTTTCGTTTTTCTTCATTTTGTCTTTTTACTAATTTCCTTACATTTCTATTCTTCGTACTGTTTGTTGGTTTCAGTATACTTTTATGACTTTGGCATGTATACAGTATTTTATTTCATCGAAGCACTAAGACATACTTATCAAAACTTACCTTTAGTTGTAATTTTACTTTCCTCGCTTGGTGCACTTTCTCTCGCGAATCCACCACGTTCATTTTCGTAGTGTTCACCTATGCATGTCGTCACAGTAATTTTGTATGTTGCACTTGGAAACACATCAGGAATTACACATTTGTTGACCGTACCTGGTACATTTTGAGTAGACCCCTCTTCTGAGTCATTAACATTCCATTTTATTTTGAACTGCGATATTTTATCTGTTGTTGTATGTGACGGATTAGACCATCTAACAGTTATTCCATTGTTGTCTGTGTGTAAACAGACGTCATTTGGAGGAAATGGATCTTTTTCTGTGTTAAAAAAAATATTTTGCTATCCAAATCCTATCTTAAGGTATATTTGAGCGTTCTTCTGAGTTCAAAGCCGTGTACACATATCAATGAGATTTACCGCAAGTATGTATACATGATATATAGAGCTTTTGAATACTTTTAGTAAGGGCTGTTCCTTAATTAAATTTTCAAATTATATATTTCTTGATACAAAAATACAACAGAATTTGCGCTCTAACAATAACATGAAAAATGTGATAACAATGTTTTTTTTTATATAGATGATTGTAATTATATAAATTGTCAATTATGATAACTTCCGATAATCTCACATGTGAAATGACTCGTTTATTTTCGCTCCCGAGACTTTCCCCACCTTTTACCTGACCCTTACTTGAGATTTTTTAACAGAAGATTTGCGCCTTGATACTTAAAAGTAATTGATAAAGTGTTTCCATATCAACAACTAATAGTCCGGGTGCACTGAAGACAACTTCTTGCTTCACAATTATCGCAAAATCTGTCTCAATCTTCTCCAAGTGACGATCTGACACTGTGTGCAATACACAAATATTCATACACAACGCAGTCCAATGAAATAGGCAATACACAAAATTAGTTCAACTAACGTCAGTAACACATAAATGAGTTTTGATATTCTAGTTCTATATAATGAAAAAAAAAAAAAAACAAATCGCCGTATTTGCATATAAAAAATAGACCAATCCGGATTATACTCGTGCTGCGCACTCGTTTTATCTATTTGTGGTTCGGTAACGCGTTGTCGTACATTTTATATTGAAGTCTGAAGATTAGTTATACAATACAAATTAACAACTAACGCCGTTTCTTTTTTACTGGTAACTAAATTGAAAAGAATGTTTGTTTATGGTATTAAAGAGAAGGGATATACGACAAGTAATGTAAGCATTTTCCGGTTTTGATATTTTAAAAATGAGGAGGTAACTGTATTGTCTTTTAATCTTGGCCTATACGAAACGTGGGTTTATTTGTCGCAAATCAACTTTTCCTGGAGACGTGTAGCGGACTTAGGTTAACTGAAATTTGCGACCGTAAAATCAAGTTTCACGAAAACCAAGCATAATACAACACGGTTATCTCTATGCTAATGAAAAAAAAATAAAGGCGTTCAATTTTATTAATCACTAGCTAAAAATTGTAATAAATGATAAAGATAGAGAAACTATGTTCTCGTTGCTGGAGCCTTAACAGCATTACGTCATAATTACACGTCCGCGGTCAAAGGTAACCCCAGATAGTTTTAGACTTTGCATTCATACGCCTTAGAATGAAATTAATGTTTTCTGGCAAAAAAAATATGCTTGTTTTGTTTATTTTTGAAAAAAACACATACCAGATAATTTCGGAATTCAAAATGTCGGTTTAGTAACAAACCAGTAAACCGTGATCTTTTCCCCCTCAAAATATTTCGACGACCTATGCGAAATCGTTACAAAAGAATAACATTATACATGTTATAATTAAATTGATACACACACGTTTTTATTTGCATATAGGTTGCTATAAGAAAGTTTTACTTATAATAACCGTTTCAGTGTGGGCGACGGTAAATTTGTAAAAATGTTTGTGTATGGAAACAGAATTGGGAAATTAAAACAAACTTCTTTTATAATAATTTGAAATTTTATTTTGAGTCATCTCCTCGAGTTCACAAAAGGTTTGAAACTTAAATTGTATTCAGCGAAACTTCATGCTAATATTTTACATTTCGATACGGGTTCCTTGGAAAGAAGTCAGGCATCGTTTATTGTTTTGAACCGTCATTTTAAATGAGTATGTGTCCGTGGTGAAATCTTTAGAACCCAAGAACCAGACTGAATTTACATAAAATGCAATAATTTGAACAGCTGAATTTGTCACTTAGCTTACCTTTTCCTTTATAGCAAATTAGTAGTAGAAATCCTGCAAAAAAAAAAAATGTAAATGTATCTGAATTGAGCCGGACACATTAACATAAAACAGATGTGACCATTCTGAATTCATTAACAAAGTGATATGATCTAGATGAACATGTTTAATATCATGTGTTTTAAGTGTCGTTGTATTGCTTTTTCATTGAGGTCTACTCAACACCTTGATTGATATGCATTCATTAAAAATGTGTTTAACAATATATGCACAAGTCTAAATTGAAAACAACTTTCAAATCAATGATTGTGTTTGATAAAAACCACAATTTTTATACGTGTTCATGCAAAACAAATTTCTTGTTCGAGGGGTCTAAATACAGCAAAAACAACATTTTCCAAAAGACCAAAAAAGTGAAAAAGTATATTTTAACAAAACGCATTTGACTAACAGGTCGAACAACAAATGTTCTTAAACCCTATTGACTGCCATTGGCGATTGCCAAATAAACTTATCACCAGATATAATAAATGGATCTTAATTATAAATTTGATACTAAACAGAAAACAATAAACTTGCGGCAAAGATGGTATACCGCAAACAAAAGTTGCAAAGGTTTTTGTACACCATATCCGGATTTCGACAATTTATGTCTCTTCAGTGATGTTAGGAATAGTAACGGTATTCGAAAAGCCATACAATTTACCTCAATTTCGGATAGACTCTTGAATTTCAAGGATTCAAAATAGGATGAACGGATCATATAAACCCGAAGGCAAATATATACAAGCCCGAACGAAAAAATATTCAAACCTATGATTGCGTTGGATAAAAACCGCAACTTTTATACGTGTGCATGCAAAACAAATTTCTTGTTATAGGGGTCTAAATACAGCACAAACAACATTTTCCAAAAGACCAAAAAAGTGAAAAAGTATATTTTAACAAAACGCATTTGACTAACAGGTCGAACAACAAATGTTCTTAAATCCTGCTGACTGCCATTGGCGATTGCCAAATAAACAGATCACAAGGTGTAATAAATGGATCTTAACTATAAATTTAATACCAAACAGAAAACAATAAACTTGCGGCAAAGATGGTACATGTATACCACAAACAAAGGTGCAAAGGTTTTTGTACACCATATCCGGATTTGGACAATTAATGTCTCTTCAGTGATGTTAGGAATCGAAACGGTTATTGAAAGGCCACATGATTTACCCCAATTTAGGATAGACTCTTGAATTTTGAGTAGTCAAAATAGGATGAACGGATCATATATAACCCGAAGGCAAATAAAAATACATATATATATAAAAATACTAACTATGGGCACAACTTTCCTTTTGACAGTTGTTTTCCATTCGTTTGAAGTGTTTGAGCTTTTGATTTTGCCATTTGATAAGGGACTTTCTGATCTGAATTTTCCTTGCAGTTCGGTGTTGTTATTTTACATTTTGCATGAATTATTTGTACGTATTGTACGCATATTCACACGAAACGGTTTCTTTTATTGTTTTACTTATAGTTTGAAAAGATTACTTTTTAATTAACATACCTTCAACTGCTATAAGGAGTGTACATACGACTGTCACAACAAACGCAATCAACTTTGGAGATAGTTCTAATCAAAAAAAGAAAGCATAGAAATGAATATAAACTAATTATTTCATTTTTCTACAAGCTGAAATATTATATGAATATTGCAAAAATATCTAAAATGATTAGATATGAGCCATTTAAGCAGTTAATATTCGAAAAATAAAATCGCGAGAAGAGAAAGGCTCATTCAAGGTCCAAAGTTAATGAACTAAAAAAAAAGTAGCTTCGTCAATGTGCAAACGAGCCATATTTTAATTTATTTTGATTGCATGTTTGCATACCGAAGGTCGGTGACTCTCTCTGGATACTCCAATTTATCCAGCATATAAACTGATCACCTAGATACTGCCAAGGTCTGGTGAAAGTAGGTTTAAACACAAACAATCAATCGACCAACCAACTAAAATACTAGCAACTAAAATATAAGGTAACCAGTGAAAAGGCTACTGATGTTAGTCGGGAGTGTTTGTATACCTTTGGATTTTAAGGAAGTTTGTGAGATTTAATTCTCCCCTTATAATAATAAACCTATAAAAACTAATTAACATGTGTTACTATTAACGTATCAATCTGAAGTTAGATTGTATTCGCAGATTATACCATATAACAATGAACCTATAACAAACTAATTAACATTATGTAACTGTTTACGTATCCATCCGAAGTTCGATTATATATTCACAGATTAGTGAATATACTTATTTTGTTTTAAAGTCCTTAGGAAGGAACGTATCAAAATTCTTCCTTTTTCTGAAAGTGTTTTCATCATAATAACTGAATTCCTATTCCTCTAAAGCTTTTAAAATACATGAGCGACAATTATCAAATAAACCAGACTTATAGTGTGGTACGCAATACACCTTTTAACTCTCACTCTCTATTAGACCCGTTAGTAGCGCTCGAATTAAAACAGTTTGAAGCCCAATTCCAATACGAAGTTATAGAGGGTTAGAAACCGGAAATTCAGAAAAGTGTGCCAAATACAGCGAAGGCACTCTGTGCTAGGAGGTAGAAAAACCTAAGTCAGTTTATTTTCGACTTATGAGTTTAAATGTCCCTTTGGTATCCTTCGCCTCTCTTTTAGTGTTTCGAAAATGATTCAGCATTTTATAAACAGTATATTTACAAAAAGATGAACATGATATTTCATGTCATCACACAATTGTTGACTACAATACAACAGAGCAAGGTTAATCTCACATATTTCGTATTACCATTGTAGGTATGGAATACAACAGTAAATATATTCATTTCGATGAAATGTACAATTGTTTGTTCAAATTGATATTCAATAATTCGCTCTTTTTGTTGTGTTTCATAATTTATAAAGTGTCAAAACCATCTAGGTTGGAGTCATGTCCAATTCAAATAAATATTAAAGACAGACAATGGTAACATTTGAGATCTACTAGTATACAATAGAGGCGAAAGATACCAGAGGGATATTCGAACTCAAAAGTCGAAAACAAACTGACAACACCATGGAAAGAAAATGCGTATGGTTAATTGGTACATGTAATCTTCAAATTTAGAAAACTTACCATTCCACAACTTTTTAACAAATGCATTATATGTATTGATGGAGAAACTGTCTGTGGATAATCAAACGAAAAAAAAAAAAAAAAACAAAAACAGAAAGAACATAAAATAATTTCAAAAATGTTATCAGGTTTTGTTGCAAATCAAAATAAATGTCAATAATGTAATACGGTATTAGTTAAGTGAATTGGAATTTCTATGTCGCTGTCTTGCGTTATGGCAGTTTAATTCTTGGCCGAAAAAGTTTTTACTAGGATATTCTAAACCAACGTTTCTTCATTCTTTTGGACAAACTTTGTAAAACCCCTTTATTGATGCTGTTCTTGATATTTCTGAAAAATTAGTTATCCTGTATTGGGTGAACAATAACCCAAAGAAAAGAAATTCTTCGACAATTACAAATTGGCAACTAAGCAAACCTTCAATTAGTACAAGTTGAATTTAAAGTTTATTAAACAATATCATTAACGTACGTATTATGATTACCAAATTATCTTTTCTAAATAATCAAATAGGTTTTGCTGCACATACTGCATTTTTATTTTTGTGCGAAGAAAGTTAATCGCTATATCACATGTATATATTTACTTGAGCCCTAAAAAATGTGAATGTAAACAAATAATTCGTTGAACTTTGACGTAAAAGGATTTTAAAGACAAAACAGTCTTATTAAGAGGGTCTCATCTATATATGATTTGATATCAGGCAGTTTGAATTTCAATTTAGCGTTAGTCTTTAGTCTAATAGACAAACAGTCAACTTCTAATTATATTATTAATGCATTTGGGTAATTTCCGAAATTTTCTCTCTTATTTGTGCAAAACCGATTGAATTTATATATTTTTTTTATACAATAATAGAAATGTACAAGTACGATGCAATTGCAAATCAACAGTTAATGAAATTCTGAAGTGGGATATTGCTGGTCAGGATGTATACTGCTTATCAATTTGTTTGTAAATGCTATTGCTTATAACCAACGAATAAGGAAATGTGCAATGACGGCTCATACTTAATCTAATTTATATACTTCATTGCGTATTAAGAGAAGCTAAATAATTACATCAAATTGAACATATTATAGATTCTCATTTTATGTAGAACTTGTATTTGTTTATGTCCGCAAATTACCTTTAACAACTATTTACAATATAAATGGTCATGAATGTATCCAAGATACCAGGTTTATAATTTGAATTGCAAAGACGAGCGTTTCGTCTACATAATATTCAGCAGTGACACTGGAATCACGATAGTCCAAATCAAGTTCGAAGTTAAAGAACATTAACAGGGTTTCCACATACACCGATATCGTTTTTAAAAATGAATAAAAACAAGCGTATATCATTTCACATTAGTAATTAAAAAAACAGACACAAATAATAATAATGAATAAATGTCTTTTTAGTTTGAATACTAAATAAATGGAAGTTATACCTGTCATACACAGTAATTGGACACGCACTTTCTTTTCCTCGCATATCATCCTCTTGTGCACAGTCATAATCTGAAGAAAAAACTTGCAACAAATAAAACTAATTTAAGAAATAAATATATATATTCTCAACATACAGGAGCTCAAATCCCGCACGTGGCAGGTGCATTCGACTCCAATCTTAATTGACTAGTTTTCCTACCGAAGGTCGGTGGTTCTCTCCGGGAAATCTGGCTTCCTCTACCAATACAAACTTACCGCCACGAAATATAACAATAGTGCTGAAAGTGCCGTTAAACACCAATCAATCAATCAATCAATCAATCAATCAATCAATCAATCAATTAATCAATTAATCAATTAATCAATTAATCAATCAATCAATCAATCAATCTCAAAATTTATCCTATCTGAAATGCAAAATTTACCAGATAGCTTTAATGCTTTTGTAATTGTAAGCCTTGCGGCATACGTTCTTCCCGGGTCAATCCAATAACGTTTCTTTTTTGTAGGTAAGCGAAGTGTTACGCCGTGAATTCAAATGCATAAAACATAATTAATGTTTAAAAAATTATATTGGATTTTGTTGTATTTTCAATTATATTTAAAATATTTTAAAACAAAGATGTTTTGCATTTTAATTGTCAGTAACGATTGTATCTATAGAAGCAAAAGGCTGTGGAAGGTTGAAATTAGCAATCAATACACTGTTCAATCTCCATTGGTTACGTCTCTGTATTTAAGTACCAAGTATGCATATTTAGCTACGCCTTTTACCGAAAATCCAAAAAATGCGTTCCTTATCTTACCGGGTGTTAGAACTGTATTATTCGGACAGTACTTTTTGTAGCAACTGCATTCCTCCTCTGAAGGAATACAAAAGCATGGATGTCTTGGTTTGTTAATAAAAGCATATCCATTAGTATAATCACATCGGCAGGATCGATCGGATTCAGTTGTACCATTATTATACAGAAATTGACCATCGCCAGCACACTGTGACTTCTCAAATAAACATTGATCGCTAACATTTGACCACAAACGGATCGGCTGATACCGATTTCTGGCACATGGTGTAAAATCGGGTTGTCCTCTTTGTACATATTTATTACCTGAAAATTATGTATTGTTATTAGTATTTATAGTACCATTATCAATGAGTCCTGCATAACTCTAGGATAAACTGACTATGCCGTAAACATTTATATACCAGCATGTCACCGAGATCAAAAACCAAAATTGCAAGGTAAGATGTAGATAATATACAGTGATAGGAAATATAGTAGACAAAAATGCAGATAAGGAAAAGATTTATAGTATGTAAGATATATCAATTATGCTAGATATAAAAAAAATGAGGTATGTTTGCCAATGAGACAACACTCCACCAGCTCCAACAGAGACTAAATGACATAAAAGTTAGCAAACAAAGGTCACCGTACGGCCGTCAACAATGAGCGAAACATATATCGCGTAACAAACGTTGAAATGTCCTAAAAAGACAAATTGTTAACATCTTCTATTTTTACGTTTGAATAATTCCCTCATATACAAATTTGACTTAGAGAAGAATCAAATGATACTTATTTTATTTAAAGTTTTCAATTTTCGGTTCCTTTATCCTCTTCCGCGGAATAGATTGCCTTAGCTTAATTTTGCCAAACATTTCGGAATTTCGGATCATTAATTATTCCAACTTTAGTTAGTACTTTAAAATTAGGCGTTTTGACGTTTTTGATTCGAGCGTCACTGATAAGTCTTTTGTAGACAAAACGAAATGAGTTTGTTTTGCATATTTGTTGGATTTCACTTACGTATACTTCTGATCATGCTGATCTAAGTCTATCCATATTAATCATTACATGGCTTACATGTTAACTAGCGGAAGTAAAACATTGAAAAGCGCCGAAACATGTGGTAAGGTATATGTGTTCCCTGTTGGTGTGACGTAATTTATAAAAAATTTCATCTATCTTCTTGCAGCAATCCAAAGTATCCCAAGTAAGACTAAATATCACTATTACCAAACATTTTTTTTATTACGAAGAAAGGATGCGTATGCTGCATTCGTTCCATTGTGATATAGATTTTATTAAAATAACTGAATTCTTTTAATTTTAAATGATTAAAAAAACAATTTAACTTAGAAGAATTCTCTCCACCGAGTTCGCTGTGAATTATATTTTGTTTTGTGTAGTTACATATTTTTTAATGGTAATTCATCGTTTTTTCTTACCATTCAATGTGGAGTAAAAAACGGAGGTTGAAGATACTAAGAGGACATTCAAGAGTTTAGTGTTATACTGCCAATCTCAAGTTAATATTTGATTACAATGATTGTTTTACATTCATCGACCAAAGGTTGCGTTTTGTTGTGGTAGTTGTTGCAATGCCTGCTGAAAAGCTTGGTGCTATTCCTAACTAACAGTATTCTTTCACGTACCACGAAGACCAATTATGTCCTAGATTTGCTCAATCGATGATCTATTGCAAGCTTTGCTCCATAGAGAAGACAGTTAGCATCGATTTTTCGGGTGAATCGTGGTTTCACTCGGGATCGATCTTTCTAGTGTTTATTATTACCACTGACACATATTTTCTTTTCTTCCAAAATGGAATAGTGCATTTGATCTTTTCTACTCGTAAGCTCCCATAGTAATACATTGACCATTTTGATACCAAAGACCTTCCCTTGTTCGATAAAAATTGTTCTTAATTAAAATTATGACCTTTATAGTTTATTTATGCCTGTAGTATTGTCAATAACAGCCACAAATACTATTATATTACATACTATTTTTGTTTGTGAGAAAGTCAGGGTGATACTCTTTTTCCAGGTAATATTATATTCGAAACATAGTTTCAAAGGAAATTAATTGCCTATTTATCTTGTTGATTCATTTATATTCGTAGATGAGGACCAACCAACAGCTAACATTAAATCAATATTTCAATCTAAATAATTTTGGTCTTTCATTTATTTACTGCTAATGAGGGTGACTTTAAATTGTGTGTGGAACTTGAAAAAAAGTCATACCTGGCGGGGCAAAGTCTACCGTTGCTTTGCATGATTCTACGTTTACACCTCTATTTTCGTCATACAAACATGAATAGGTCACTGATGAAGATTTATTACAAAATGCTATGGCTCTCAATTCTCTCTCTGAAGGTTCTGGGCAATTTCGTTTAAAAGCTATACACACTGTAAAATATAGCGCTATCTGCAAGTAAACATAATGTCATTAAAAGTCTCGATTTTACAAAATACAAGTTAAAATAAGCTGCTTATAGTATTTTATATGATGGAAATCGTTCAGTTAGTTTAATGAAGTATGATCAACGATGGCAATAATTGTTTGGCTGTTAAATTTATATCAAATACTTGTTTGTCTTTTACAATACAAAGATAATAAATAACAACGTTTAACTATTTGCCTCCTATCCCTCATACTGATTTTTCGAAACATTATTTAAATAATTGTGTCTACATTTTCATTGTTTATAAGTATTGTCAAGAAACCTGTTTATGTAGTCGTTTCTCTGTAGTGACTACAATGCACCATACAGTTTTTAAAAGGAATATATATTAAGTAGCTGAATTAAATCATATCTGCATTTGCTGATTCTGACACAATCAGTCTTTGCTCAAATTCATAAAACGCTTGCTTAGAATATATTGATTTGGACAGAACTTACTTTTTTTGGCAAAATATCACCAATAGAACGGCCCTTTTTAAGGTTGAGGGTACGAATGTACAGCTTTAACAATCATTTTCATCAAAGACAATGGTATTTAAATATCGTGTTAAAAAGGTTTGTCGAAATCCTTTTAAATCAATTTGAATATCATAAAAAAACTAACAACAATTATATATGTTTGGGATCAACAAATATGATTTACATCACCTACATAGATCGGTGTTAGGGTTGACATGTACTGTGAACAATATTCAGAGAAAATAAAAAGATGTGGTATGATAGTATTTTCTTTAAATAAACTAATCATAGATACCAGGATTGAAATTTTGTACGCCAGACGCACGTTTCGTCTACAAAAGACTCATCAGTGGCACTCAAATAAAAAATGTTCAAATGGCCAAATAAAGGACGAAGTTGAAGAGCAATGAGGACCCTAAATTCCTAAAAGTGCAGACTACTAGGCTGGTGATACCCTCGGGGAGAAAAACTCCACCAGCAGTGGCATCGACCCAGTGGTTGTAAATATACTCATCATAGAAACGCATATAGGGACGGCAGTACAATTAACAAAAGCAGAACGGATATGGTCTACTAAATAAGAATGAGCAACATTCCAGCAACTGAAAGATCCGCATAATCAGTTCCAAAAGATTAATCAGTAAACCTCTCATTAACCACGAATTTGGTTATGTGTTAATTTCAACCAAATTCGTGGCAAATGAGAGCTTTAGTGATTATGCGTCCTTGACCATCGTCAGTACAATCTTTAGTACTGGTATCTTCCTCATTTTTTGCAATCAGCAATATAAGCACTGCAACTAAAGAAATGCTTTAAGAAAATATCATTTCATGCACCATTTTGCATTTATCAATGCAGTTAGAGGCGTCATACTAATGCGGGTCCATTAGTTATATATCGATTGTCATTACCTACCTCACAAATATTTATATTCCCAAAACGGTCAAAGGAGAAATGCGATAGGAACAAACATTATTTTCAAGGTCATTGTATACAAATGATAACTCGACAACATGCGATGGTAGAAAAAAATACAATATGTGTAAATATGAAATACGTCACACAAGGGGAGAAATATACAAAATGGACATTCAAAATTCAGAAGTCAATGGAAACCAATTTCGCCTTTGTAAAAAGGAAAAAGAAAAAACCATTAGACAAACGACAGTCGCAAAAAAAAAATTAGAAAAAAGACTGATCAACACAAACTTTACCAAAAACCGGGGATGATGTCAGGGGCTCTAGGCGAGTAAACAGATCTGCTCAACTAGTTGATATCACAAAAACTGCATAACAGAGCGGTAACCTTTTTGGGCACGGACGCACGCACGCACGCATATACCTTAAAACATGTTGACCCTCTCCTATAGATAAATGGCCAAGAAAAACCTCTTGGTGAATCCATTGATATTGTAAATCCCTTTTAGGTCTAAAAGGATATTTTCGCATGAATATCATATCATCCGTAATTAGGTTTTAATTGATTTCTTGACAGAACCCCTACCGTAAAAGTAAATGCAGGCTGGGCAATAAAACACCTTCCTTATTGTTTTTTTTCCTTTTGCCAAAAATAAAACAAATCTTGTCTTTTTCGAAAAAAAAAATAACGAAAAGTAACCTGGCGTAAATTTATCACTCTGCGAAACACTCAATACTGGAAAGGTTAAACTTGTTAGAATTGTTACATTTTTTAAGCATACGCCATTTTGAAATCTTAATTAAGAATCTAGTGCCTTAGACTATATGTTTTATACCTTCATTTGGAATGTCTTAGTCTTTGCTATTCCCGATATTCTTCAAAGAAATGAATAGAGACCAAAGTTCCATCTTTTGTTAAAAACAGATATGCAGAATAGGAAAAAAAGTCAAACCAGAAATTCAAAGAAAAACATTTTCATTCTAGTTCAAGTGATCGTTTCTCAAATCTCTGCATCTTCTTAACATTTGCTTATCTAGATATAGATATTACAAAGTTGAATTACAAGTTGAACTTTAGTCATAATTTGTCAATTTATTTATCTATTGATATGCAGGTAGATTTTGTTCATATTATAGGGATTTTGTGCACAAATAAGAAATAAAATCGTGTGCATATGTTATATATGATGATAGAGGGATATTACATTGAAAAGTTTTGTTCATTATATTTTCTCCAATAACATTGACGGTACTACAATTTCTGCACCAGATGCGTATTACGGCTATTAATATCTCTTGAGTGATGCTTGAAGCCAAATATATTTCAAAATCAAAAACCTAATACAAATGTTGACAAGCTGATCAACCAAAACGGACCTAAATTATAGCCAAATACGGTCAATATTCTAAAAACGGTATTTTGTCAATCATTGTAGGTGGCCGTGTGCGTATTGTGAAGATAAGATCACATTGGGTATATGATCTGTCGTCTATTGATATCTAAAATCAGCCTTTAGAAATTTTCACACTTCGAACTCTTAAAACGAGGATGCATAACATATGGAGTGAGAAATTGATAGCTCTGTTTACTGACGCTTTTATGATGAAGTTTGTATCATATTACTATATTCAAAATAAAACTGAAACAAACTAATAGATACTTCCCCTCAAAAATACAAAAAACTGTGCCTTTTTCGAAAAAAAGAAAAGAAAAAAGGAAATCAAACCTGGCATAAACTTATCACTCTGTTAGACACTCTTTACTTTTTTGGAAAGGTTTAACCTTGTTAAAATTGCTACATTATTTCACGCAAACGCCATTTTGAAATCTTGTTAAAGAACGAAGTGTCTTAACCAATATATATTAAATGATTCCCTTTAAAATGTCTTAGTATTTGCTATTCCCGATATGTTGTACACTATGATGACTCTTTTCTTCAATGAAATGAATACAAGACCATAGATCTGTCTTTTGTGAATAAAATAATGCAGAATAAAAAAAAATTCAAACCAGAAATTCAAACAAGCACATTTTCATTCTAATTCGAGTGATCTTTTCTCAAATCTCTTCATCTTCTTAACATTTGTTCATCTGTAAAAATAGAAATAGATATCAATAGATAAAGTTGAATTACAAGTTTAACTTTATCGACTTAAGTCATAACTTGTCAATTAATTCATCTGTTAATATGCAAGTAGATTTTATTCATATTATTGGGTATTTGCCTACAAATTGAAAATAATATGTTGTACATGATGAAAAAAGGAGATTACATTTCAAAGTTTCGATCATTATTTGTTCTTTAATAACATTAACGGTACTACAATTTCTGCACCAGATGCTTATTTCAACGAGTAATATCTCTTCAGTGAGGCTCGAATCCAAAAATATTTCAAAATCAAAAACCTAATACAAACGTTGACAAGTTGATCAACCAAAACAGACCTAAATTATAGCCAAATCCGGACAATATTTTACAAAAGTTATTTTGTCAATCATTGTAGGTGATCGTGTACGTATTGTGAAGATAAGATTACATTGGATATTTGATCTGTTCGTCAATTGATACCTAAATAAAGGCAACAGTAGTATATCCGGGTTACAAACTAAAACTGAGGGAAACACATCAAATATAACATGTATAAGAGGAGAACTACGACACAACAGAAACACAACATTAAAATGTAACACACACAGAAACGAACTATAATATAAAAATGGCCATTTTCCTGACTTGGTACAGGACATTTTAAGAAAAAAAATGGTGGGTTGAACCTGGTTTTGTGGCTAGCCAAACCTCGCACTTTTATGGCAATGTTAAATATAACAGTAAAATGACACCATTACATGACATGAATACAGTACAACATTACGGACAGAGACTTACGCAAATAACAATACAATATAGTACATTTGGAAAACGAAACAACAGAAACACTGAAGTGAACAAACAACAAACGACAATTCAACACACACAGAAACAAACTATACGATAACAATATCCATTTTCCTAGCTTGGTAATGGACATTTTTAAGAAAAAAAAATGGTGGGTTGAACCTGGTTTTGTGGCTAGCCAAACCTCCCGCTTTTATGGCAATGCTAAATAAAACATTAAAATGACAACATTACATGACAGGACTACAATACAAATAAATGGGAGAACATATAGGACAAACAAACATACGAATAATAGCTAATAAAAGGTACCAGGTTTAAAATTTAATAAGCAAGACGCGCGTTTCGTTCACACAAGAGTAACCAATGACGCTCAGATGAAAAAAGTACGAAAGCCAAAACAAGAACAAAGTTGAAGAGCATTGAGGACTAAAAGTTCCAAGAAGTTGTGCCAAATACGGCTAAGGTTATATGTCTGGGATAAGAATCCTTAGTATTTAGAATAATTCATACTTTTGAAAACAGTAAATTTACAAAAATGACTATATAATAGATATACATGATAAAACCGAAGTGGTGACTAACTACAGAATGAAAACGGATACATAAAACAACATAAACCAGCACATAAAAATGCACAGCCGAGCTAGCCAAAGAGATCAACTCTAAAAATAGCCTTTATAATTATTCACTCATCAAACTCTTTTAAAACGAGGATGCATGAATGGTTTAGATGATTATCGAGTATGAGTTAAAGGGGTTTACAAAAGGATGTTTTAAAACATTGATAAGCATGTCTCACATTTTATCTACATATAGTACGATAGTGTAAAAATTGTTTTGTCTATAATCGATGTCACAAGATTGGTGTTTGTATACTAGAACTAGTATGCAAAAACCTTGCGTTAATCTGAAAACAATCACAAAAAATGAGAGTGCATAGTTCAGTAAAGTATGTCTAATTTAATTAAAATGGATAGAACAGGTGCAAAAAGGTACTTCTGAGTTCGCATTTTCAACTATGCTTGAAGTTGTACACTTTGTGTTAGATTATTGTTTTAATAAACACAACGTGGGAAACAATTTGTTTTTATAACCTGTTATGTTACTAAAATTACAGATTATTAATTCTGTCGCACATAACTCATCTTTTAAATTGGGACGATTCATGGGTTCGCTAGATGCATCAAGTTGAACATAAAATGATAGTCCACACACTGATCACTATCTGATATTCTTTCAAATCATTTACACTTTGATTATTTACTATGTAGCAAAGATACTAATACAGTGTCGTTATGTATTAGATACAATACAAAGGTAACAAAGAAACAGGCCGATAACAACGGTTGCCGGATAGTTTTTCTGCACGAGTAGTCAGGTCAAGGTCCCAGGCGATAGCCGAGGACCTTGACCTGACTACAAGTGCAGACAAACTATACGGCAGGTTGTTTCCGGCCTGTTTTTTGTTACCTTTGTTTTGTATCTGACTTGTACGACGTTTCAAGAAGGGAGAAGTACATTTTACATTTAGAAGAGGTAGCAAAACTAAAGATATTAGAACCTTAAATGGCCATATACCAGTTAATGTAAGTAACAGTTTACATTGTTTTTTCTCACTTCCCTTCAGCCGAAATTCAAGAATCTAATAACTTTATAAAAAGAACCATTTCAAGTTAAAGGTGAATTTAAACACATTTGAGACTTTATGAAATGCAACTTCGCAAGTAAGTAATGTATAAAAAAAGATTTCAGAGGTAAGCAAGCCACCATTTGATTTTTATTGGGGGAAAGGGGAAGTTAAGATAAATTCCCGCTAAAAAATTCCTAAAAATCGTACGTTTGCCGCCAAATATATGAATTCAATATATATGAATTCAATAACTATATAAGTGTATCAAAAGAATGAATTTCCTATCTCATTAGTGAATGAAATGTTATGAAAAAATGAATTTTGTCTTTTTATTAGATATATATATATATATAGGCATATATTTTGGATTAAAAACAATGTTCATGCTTATAGGTTTTTATATGTCTCTGATAGTGTTGATCAGGATTAAACACGTTTCATTATATGATCCAATCAGAGCTTACCGTCCGAAATTGATGATATAAGTTGAATGATTTTCTTCAAGATTTGCTGCCTTTTTGAACATGTATTACACGGACACTTTTTTATTTATAGGATCAATCGTGCATTGGTGAGTTGATAGGGATTTTATCTTTTGATTAGATTTGATTTCTTTTATATATATTTCCTGTCTTTTTATGGAAATATAAATGTTGGTACCAGTATTTCTTTCAGCATTGTCCAGAATACTATTCATGTCCGGATATTGAAAAAAACACATTTACGGATCGACCATTTAGCTTCAAAAGGGGTGTGTTCTTTTCTGAGTAAGAACATTATTTAGTTTTTCAACTATATAATATATTATATATTTTTTCTCATAAATTTGGGGATCAAAATGTTTTTTTTAGGAAAAAACCATAACCCACCTTTTGAAGTTAAATGGTCAATCCCTTAGTGTACTAATATGAAAAGTTACTGGAATTGTTTGAAAAAAAATATTGTTATTGATGCTAACGTAAATATTTTAATTAAAAAGACAGGAAATATGTCGGTGAAACAAAAAGTTCAAATCTAATTGAAATTTAAAGTGCCCATGAACTCACTGATCATGCACGAGTGATTCTATTCATAAAAAGTGTCCGTGTAACAACTAAAAAGTGTCCGTGTATCATCTAAAAAGTGTCCGTGTAACACCCGTTAATGTACTGTTTTTCTATAGCTCTGCTGGGGGCAAAGTCGTACAACTTTAGTTTGCTATGTTTATCTTATTCATTTTAAAACTTTTAACAAGAACTCTTTTTCCAAAATGCAATTTAAAAATCTGTCTTTTAGTTTAAGCTTTGCTTGTATAGTTGTTTTTATACCTATGTGATCCTAACAAAATATAACTGCGATGTTTGCACAATCAAAGCAATTAAACCAAGCACTGTGAAATATACATGATAACAAGATACATCAAACCAAAGTATAATAGAATATAACTGAAACATAGGTGAAATCTTGGTGTATTTTGATTTATATGTCGTTTTAGGTGCTTTCAAATTGACGTATTTCCAAAACATATTTCAATTACACGAAAAAGCAATCTGACTGATATTTTTCCTCACGATAACATAAAATATGAAATTGGAAAACGCCCAGATTTAGCATTTTTTAATCAGTATCAACATGAAACTAGTGACTATTAAATCTCCGAAATGCAATGAAATTTAGAGCGTTATATTGAATAGGAAGCACGTTTATTTCCTTGCCATGAGCTACCGGATAATTTTTTCGGATAAAAAAGTTAGCATTATCAGAAAGGTAAAATAAAGTTTCGAAAAACAAAGAAATCAACCGAACATATTATTTGTTTTACTTTTATTCATACACACAAAAAGATTAGAAGTAATGTGGAGGACTTGGTGATCTAAGTTTAAGTAGTCGAATCACTGTATCACTAGCCTGTCAACACTGAGACTGTAAGTTCAAATCCCGCAAGTGCAGATGTGCTCGACTCCAATCTTATTTGACTAGGATTGTCAGTTTTCCTACCGATGATCGGTGGTTCTCTCTGTGCAATCCGGCTTCCTCTACCAATAAAAACTGACCGCCATGAAAAAACACAATTGTGCTAAAAGTGTTGTTAAACACCAATCAATCAACCAATAAAAGTAATTTGACAGACTTTAACATGTTTAATAATGTTGAGTGAGCCAATAAAGGTTTCGTTTTTTCTGACGTCTTTTTTTTTCAGTTAAAGAATGTACTACGCATGTGACCTCAGACGTCCAAAAGATGCATATTTTATCATATTTAATAATATTATACTTGTTAAACCTTACCACAGTTTTCATCCTCGAAATGAACACATCAGTCAATGTAACTTACTATCTTAGTACGGGACATATGCTGTATAACGACACAATATAGCTTTTTATATTACATCCGTTCTAAATTTAATATTTGGTTTTCCAATTATCTCATCGGCTAATCAATTGTATTTGTTTTTGTTATTGTGCCCTAATCCCAGTCTTGAATATGTATGAAACGATATTGAAAACAATCGAAATTGACTTCATTCAAGGAGCTTTAATCACAAATTAGGTTAGTCAATTCGGTTTAGCAATTACTAAAATTTCTTATTCTTTCATAGATTAGGACATCAGAGAAGCTCCAATTACCAAAGCAGGAGTGAATCCCAATTTCAAAATTAAATAAAAAGAAATAGATTTTCAATGTTATAGACAAAATGATTACCGTATTGGTACATTAGACAGGAGGAGGTTACAGCATGCCAGCGACACACAAAAACCCCGTAAATACACTAAGAGGTCAAAATACGACTTTCAACTGTCTATGCAAATTGTATTGATCTACAGCACACATAGTCTACAAATGTTATGAAGAAATATAACAAGCTGTAAAGGATGTGCCATCACCACCAAATGTCATACAGGATCAAATAAATCACAACGAATTGAAGACAACCACAAAAAAGGTGCCAGACTAAATAAGCTCCTAAGCATATATTGGAGATAATGTTTGTAATTTTGAGTATTTTTATAGCCTTGAATTGCGTTTACGTATCCACTTAAACAAATAGCTGTTTCTTTTTATTATACCATCATGATATTCCTGAATGATTAAGTTTGAAAGGAGCATTTTAGTCATATATTGAACAATAGAACAGTTTAAAGGTATTCTAGGTCCTTTTTGGTCCTTTAGCTCTTCGACTGTTTCGATGTTTATACATCATTAACTTTCAAATACTAGTATTCGTCTTTGAGTGTTCCTGATGACGGCAAATCAAGAAAAGCGCTTCGGACGCAAGAAGTTTATTACGTGTTGTTTTCATTTTTCAAACCAAAAACATAAGACTCCGTTCTCCTCTGTTCTCCACTTATTCATAATATCATTCTTTTATCACGCTTTACAGTGTTGAAATGAAAATACACGAGCAAGATAATGAATAGCTTTAGCTTTTAACAGATTAGTCTTTACAACTTCGTCATTTTGTCTCTGATTGAATTTTGTCTATTTTGCAACCACATTTCATTATTTAAATATTTTAGTAGCATTTGTACCATATTTGTATTATCTAATAACATCAATATAAACGTCATACCATAAACCTCTCGAACAAATAATGTTATCTGATCTACAACATGTTCATGTGATTGTTGTGATAACCTAATAATCGATATGATAAAACGATATAAAAGACTGATACGAATAGAAAACTTGGTCAAATGTCACATAAACAGGCTTATACGAATTCCTCACACACACAGTCTACTCCAACTTAATGCTAGAAACGTTCTGATATTTATTATCGAAGGGCAATCATAAAAAAAAACAGATACAGTTTAACATATTTGGTTAAGTCAGTTATCATTTAACCAAGTATAATTGGTTCAAAAGATAAAAAAAAAAAAAAAAAAGCGGACGATACAAAGGGGACATTCAAACCCATAATTCGAAAAAAAATGACAACATGATGACAAAAGACGACGAAAAAACCGGCAATTTGTTCTGACAGCAATGGGAATATATTCCTTTTCATCTATGACACAGATATTCCATGACGGCCAATCAACATGATCAACTCATGATGGTTTCAACAAAATGTTCGAAGGAGTGATTTCAACTTTAGCACTTGGCACTTTATCTTATGAGTTAAAAATCTCCCTTGGTATATTCCGCCTGTTTTTTTTTAATTCAAAAAACAACTTTTTCTGTTTATGCAATACTTAACTAATTAAGTAATTATCACCTTTAATTTATGTAATCAGTAAATAAAATATAAAAATATGAAATATTACCAACATTTCAATTTAAACAGTAAACACTTCACTAAATAATTGCAACTGATTTTGCACATGACAAATATGTTACATGTAAAATATGTTGGTGTTTCGTTATTGCAAAGGGTCTAAAAAAAAGACGATTGTATATTTCCTTCAATATTTAATGCGATCACTAATTGTTACGGTGACAATATTATTGCATACAAAAGGCGTATTAGATCTTTTGAAACTAAAACTATCAAATTAGTATTGACAGGGAAAACATCAATTGGAATTTTCAAATGCTAAGATTGTAGCAAATTTCAGATTCATATAATATCAACCCACACGGTCCCAGGTTCTTTGCCTCTTACATTATTAATCTTAAATGTTGCTCTAGTCAATTTCAAACCATTAATCGTATGCAATGATTGCTGTAACCTAACGGTTCATTATCGTAGCCATATATCCTTGGACGATAATCATTGTTCTTCTATATATATATTCTTTTTTTTTTAGACTCTTAAAATGTTTTGTGTATTCTCTCAAATAAAAACTACATCTTTAGTTTAAAACGGACTTCAGATACACTATTCTATAAAAAAACCTAGTTTTACGCAATTCAATCGGTATAATTTAGTATGTAATAAGCATACATTATGGTATTTCATACAAATATCAGTCAGCATATACCTATATAGAGTTATTTCCAAAAACGACAGGTATTTCCCTTTGGGATTTAACCCAGACGAAACCAAGTTTAAATGAAATGTGCTTGAAGGAATATAATAATGACATTTGCTAGGTTAATTAATTTTCCTGATTAAAATTAAAACTACAGTTTTTTTTAATTTTAATTCATTTCATAGTAATCGGGAGTTGTTATCAATTGGGGTTTTACAGTACAATTTTCCGTGTAAAATATTTTGTCTTGAATCTGATTTTTCTGACAAAATCTGCTTTATTGTGCAAAAATGTCTTGTAGCAAGAAAAATAAAAACAACAAAACATAGGAGCCCCTTTTTAAAGTTGATATACTGAAATACTTGCCAAGAGACTAGTTTTTTTCATAAACCGTAACATTTTATTTGTTTCTTGCTTCATGAATTTGAAGCAACATTTTAAAACGAACTGGGCAGTGATTATTAACAGTTCTATCTCGATTAGTGAATTTGATTTCACCTTTTAAATGAGCCACTGGAAAACACCTGAAAACAATAGAAAAAATATCCCATTTTGATTGGTAAAATAGGATACAATTTCCTGCAAATCTTTGCAGAAAATATTTTATTTAAGTAGTATATAAGTCAGATAATGCATATGTAAAGGTTTTCCATGTCGTTTAACACACCTATAACTTAATAATGACTCATTTGTAAATCAATTTGAACATTTTGATAAAAGGCAATACTTCAACGTTTAACTCTTCTATTTCCTGCTGCCGTTTTTGTTCCCTTTGTCCTCCAGAATAGCATACATGAATTAATTAAAATGCGTCTACCGTCATGGTTTATCAGATACATTGACATTTTTTTGCGTATTCCTAAATATTTTGTAATATGTTTTTTTTTTAATTTAACAAATCTATCAGTAACTTAAAACAAGGATTTTCCTGTAAACATTTTCAATTTTCATGATACTTCCTTTTAGTTTTATTCGATAATAACGTATTAAACATATGGCCATCGAAATATATTTACTTATGGCGTCTAAATTGTAAACAAAAATATACAATTTGATTTAATGATAAGAAGTTTCAATAGCAATTTGTGGCAGATCAAATTTTAAATTCTAATAAATAATATTTACAAGAGTAAAAAAAGGAAACAACACTCATTGTAAATAACATGCCTTCGATGCGCTCAAAGCGAATTATTTATAGGCAAACGATGCATAAGAACCAAAACATTTGTGTAGCTATATGAATTAAAATGATATTAAAATAATAGCCAAATCCATCTAACATCCTTAGGTCAACTTTGCCTCAGGGAGTCGAAACCTTTCTTTCTTAACAAGTTCTTGATTTGTAAAGAAAAGTGTGTTTCTATAAATTATGTCCATACCGAAGTACTGACTACTGCGTTGATGATACCTCGGAGACTGATAGTCCACTAGCAATGGTATCAACCCAGTGCTGTAAAAAATAAAAAAAACACGTTACAAGTTATTTATGTCCATGAGACAATTAATCAACAACTATAAAAACAAATGACATTCTGAATTAACACATCGGTTAAAAATAGTCTTTAAACTTGCATAGACGCCGAAAACAGTGGAATCATTAATACAAGCTATATAAACATTCATGACAGATGACAGAAATAAATTTATATTATTCATCGGTATCCTCTAAATCGTTAATGTAATGATTTTTTCAATTTGAAAAAATAAAATAAAATCATACTTGACGAATTTAAAATTATTTATGTTTTAAACCTGCAGGGTATCATCAGCACAGTAGTCAGTGATTCGGTATTGCCATGATATAAAACATATACTTTTGTGAATTATTAGTTGTTAAACTTTAAAATTATTAATCAACTAAAGTTTCACCTTTATCAGGCAAAAACGTATGACAAAATACCGAATTCCTAAGCAAATTAAAAAAAAAATGGGTCCATTAACACTGACAAAATCAAACGCTTACAATCAGCTAGTGTAAAACAACTGCCATAGTCCTAACATGATACAGGCATTTTCATAATTGACTTAAGGTGAATTTGACTATTCATTTAGGTGCACTATTAGATATATAGCTCTTCATGTATGTGGGTAGATACAACCATAGCTTTCAAATATTTGCGTTCGATCGTGTTACTGTTCCCGGTAAACTCAGAAAATTGCGTCGGACGCATAACCTTTATAAAGTGTTATTTGCTTTTTCTAACAAAGGGTCGATACCGCTTTTGGTGGACTGATATTTCCAAACGATATAATCAGCTAGATTGTCAGTTCTACGGGACTTTGTTTAAGGTGTCGAGTAACAGAATATCCGCATTTGAACTTCAGTTTTCACTTTCATTCATACATATAAGAAGATTAAAATGGAATCAAACAGTGCAACAGGTTGATATAAAAATGTGCACTTCCTTCCTTTTACAAATCACAATTTCATAAAATTGCCCTTCATTCCTGTAAAAAACATGATACACTTGAGACCAAAGATTGCTGATATTAACATGACTGTGCATTATCAAATCATATATGAGCAACAGTTATAATTATAAATAATTCAAAATCTTACCATCTTTTCCGAGTTAACATTTGCCAACTCAATCTTGTAATGAAGGTTTTACCTATACGTATGGTGAATGCCGTAAAATGAAACACCCGACAGGTGTTATTTCATTGTTACATATTGTAATAGAATATATGTCATTTATACATATTTTTTTGTAACTGAATTACATTACATACGAGGCAATGTCACAAATATGAAACTTTCATGACAATCCTATGAATTATTTATTCTGTGCAGTCTTACCTCCAATTTGATTTAAAATGTTTTGTAATTATATACATGTATATATTTCTGACATACAGATATCTGTATTGCTTCTGGTTTGAAATAAACTATTATACTATCATAAATTAGGCGTCAAGCAACTGCTGGTGTACTATTTATCCTTGGAGATATTATTAGTACATAAGTTAATTTTTTGTCGTTTGTAATGATTTAATTCATAAATTTCAACTCTTTTAATATAAAGAATTGTTGATATCTGTTAAAATTTCTAACATATAAATTAAAATCGTTATAGGAAACTTCCAAACATATTTACCGATTCTATTTATTAGATCTGAAACTCTTCATTTTTTCCGGTTTGTGATAACGATGAATTTATAACAAATGTATAATTTAAAAAAAAATTGAGCCTTTATTTTAGTCTCAGAAACGGTAATCGAAAGACACAAAAAATCCTATTTTCGTAAATCATCTATTGACTAAATTCTTTCAATTTGTTTCGACACATAATAGTTTTATCATTGATCTGTATATCTTGTATTTGAATCATCTATGTTTGAAAGATGAAAGAAAGACAATTTATTTTGTTCTGTTGTCTTTGTAATTACGTATCATTCAATCTACTCATACATCGACCGATCCTTAACAGTGTTAAGATGAAAACATCCGCATCAGATTTACGATTAGAAGGTCTCGTCTTACTTTATCCAAAAGCTTCAACCAATAGCAAATATAAAGAAGTCAAAATGTGTCGAAACTAATGAAAATATATCCTAATCAAGTTTATTATTTAAAAACATTCAAACAGATAAAGTTCTCTGATTAACTGCTTTATACCTATGTTTTGAAGCCAAAAACCCAGAAAACATGTTTAAAATGCGTCAAACGTTTCTAAATAATGTCTTTTACATATGTTTAACAAACTGAATAAACTTAACCGAAACAAGCCCCTCTTCATAGACAGCTCAACAATCGCTTCACTACGAATTTGTTAGACTAATCTAAAGTCATAACCAATCTTTTGGTTTACAGTTTTTACAATAAATATTCCTTAATCCAAAATTTTGGCATTGCAAAATGTGTCGCTTGTCTCTGTTTATTTCGTCTATATGATAAATCCGTTGCATATGTACTGATAAATATATAAATGCCATGCTATATTCCAAAGATACCGACAATTCATTGGGTGTATCTGGATGTTGTTCTTGTTATTGCTCGTTTAATGTTTTATAATATCAACAGGGAAATTTATAAAAATATGTGATAAATCAGTTCAGTACCGAAGCACTGACTAATGAACTGATGATACCCTCGGAAACTAAGAATTCACCAGCAGTGGCATCGATCCAGTAACAATAAATGAAAGTGATACTGAAAACAAAATGTGCCGGAAACTTTGTCTGAATTTATTTTCATCACAAACGCAAACCCAGACATTTGAAGCCAAGGATTGCGTAAAAATGTTAGGAGCTAAATCACGAAAACATGAAAAAGGAATTCAAAAGCTGAAATTAATTCATCTAAGGTCTACCTTGCTTGAAGGAATTGGAACCTTATATTGAGAGTAATTTCTAGTTATATGAACGGGGATATTCTATAAGATACCGAAACACTGACTACTGAGCTGTTGATACCTATTATCTATTGTATTACGATGTTACCTTCACTGCAAATATTGGCAATTGCAAGCTTATCATTGTTGGAAAGTTATCAATTTATTATCTCAGGTATCATTATTATACTGTTCAACATATCGTTCAATATTTACTGATATTTAATGCCAACTGAAACGTAACGTATGAAGGTTATATGGCGTTTGAAGGCAGACAGTATTTATAAACCCGCAATCACCTTAAAAATTGCAACAAAACAAATAATATTTTAATATACTTACCATTATAATTATTTGTATACGAAAATCATTCTTTTTCAAACCGCTTTGGCGTTCCGTGTAATAAATGTTGATCTTTACACTATGTTGATTCCACAAAAAGCACTAGATATTACCTTATTCGTTTTATGTAGACAGCAAAGGTATTTGAAGTGTTTTTTTTTTTATCTTCTATCTTCTATATCGATATCTTTAGTGGTATTATATATCTACTTAAATGTTTAAATAGTGTTGATATATAACTTTTTAAAACCTTACCATGGGAAAAATTAAACTTGATCGGGTTAGTCTTATTATTAGGAATTTCTATTTTTCACTTCAAGTACATGGGTATGAAAAACTAGCGTGATGTTTAAGTGGTTGTTTCAAGTTACCGACAGTGCTTAATATCTGTGACTACATATGGTTTATACAGTCATCTAATTTTGATTATGGGAACAAGGAGAAATAAGTGAGGTATTTAATCTAAGATTTCTGTAAGTAATAAATGCAAGTAAATGAAAAAATGTGATACCTTTTTATCAGTAAAATATCAAGTTGACGACTAAATTGACATTCAGAGGCATTGGTTGAAGAGTGGTTTGGTAAATAGAAAGTATTTAATTTATCATAAATAACTTGCTTGTCAACAATGATGTTGTGAGTTCGAACAACGGTCATGGTGTGGTGTTCGACTTCAATCTTGATATGCAAGGACTGTCAGTTTTCTGCCAAAATTGTATAACCAGTTGTTTTTATATAATATCGATCTATATTTACTTGAACGTATGGTACCAACTTCGAATTAAGTGTGCAAGAAACGTGCAACCAGCAAAGCATACTGGGGATACCAATTTGAAATTTGATGTTATAAAATATTAGAATTTGTTTTTAACATTAAGGAATATATGTCCTTCGTACTAAGGTCTCATGCCTTGTCCCGATTTGTTTATGACTTTATTGTTTTAGTTTGATAAGCTTTTCAGCGTTTTAATTAGGTTTTAGAAATCAAAACAGTTATGCCTCGAGCAACACTGAAGATACATTGATTTTAAAAACGCGCATCTGATGTAGTAAACTTGGTATTATTATAGTTATTACAATTACTGGTCGATCCATTTGTTAGTGGACTGCGAGTACCAAAGGGTATCCTTAGACCAGTAGCCAGTATATTAGCACTAGCATAGAAATACAGAAATTGGTTGATTTACGTTTGCTGTTTTAGAATTTTAGAGATCGTTTTAAATTCAGAAATATATCTACATCGTCGAATTCCTTTTTGGATTTGTTTGTTTTGTTTTGGTTTGATCAGCTTTTCAACGTTTGTATAATTTGTTTTGATAACTTTGGTCTCAAGCATCACCGAAGAGACATTAATTGTCAAAATGCGCACCTTGTGCAGTAAAATTAATGTTTTAACAGAAGAAGGGAAAACTTTGACACCGGGTGTTAAGAATTCTCATCTTGTCATATTTTCAAATCTGTGAGATTATAGACGTGTTTGATCGATAAGCTATCTGTAAGACTGAAAAAATGCTATATACTGATGGATTTTTTAAATTGACCTGCTGCCAGTTATACAAAAGCCGTTAGGTATTCATCACATTCGCACGAAGCTTTATTCATTACCCTTTCAAAACTTCATTATCTGCACAACTTATGTTTGGAGACCACTGCTACTAACCCCCATTCAAACCTATACAAACTTACAGCTATCATTTCGGATATTGCAAATCACAGACTTTTTAAACCAGTTCGCATTGGAAAAGATGAAAAGAAGAAAAGACCCTTTCTTACACTTTCCTTTGCCAACAAAAGTCTCGATTCCATCAACTTTGGCAATATCCTTCATCATAAATTAGTTCACTCGAAAATACCTCCCTATTTTAAAGATCAGTCTGTACCTATCTTTTCTTTTACCGATACCAAACCAATTGCAACTAAACATTTAAAATACAAACACGTGTTGCAGGATCTCAATATTGAGGACTTAAGTCTAAACCTCCTGACTTCACCTGTGATAGTTCCCCTTTCATATATAATCCGGCTGGCCATGTTATTACCGGTGACCTAAAAATTGTCAATAACACTTATCTGCGAAATGTGTTATCTAAAGGCCCGAAATATTGTGAGCCTCAATCCATCAATTCGAAACACAACTTCAAAATACTGATGGATTCAGTCGAGGATTATGCCAGGCAATTGGCTAAACGCGGTAAAGGAGACATAGATACTCTTCCGAATGGATAAAGGCTGTGAGGTCGTTAATACAAATCAGAATTAGGAAACTGAATGGGTCTATTAATATCCATGCTACATCAATCTTTAAAGACCCAAAAGTTGCAAAACACTTGTCCTACCTTCATGACGAATGTGTTGCTGGTTCCACAGAAAAAGCCCCAAACAACATCGTTTGTGTGTGTAAATCACATTACATAAACTGCTTGGTAAATGAATTGGGTATTGACAACTTGGAAACTCAACATATTCCCCCACGACACTTACTAAAAAGGAAATCCTGGATAATCATAAGTCTGTTCTACGTTCCATTGGAATTTCGACCAAATATGAAGTTCTGTATCTTCCATCACTGTAGTGGATACATACACTACATAAGTGTCCTTACAAACAACGGTATATTGCTGGGTCTTCCAAGTGCTCCACGAAATCTCTTTTTTGATTATTAACATCAATTTTATCAACAATCAAAGCCGGGCTTCAAAGTTGTTGTGAAACTACCTATTCTAGAGGTGGTGTGAATCAGATGTGGATGCTAAAAAAAACAAAAGATCATTTAGACTACATATACTCTAAGTCTCTTTCATCTTGCAATGGTATTAAATCATTTGACTTTTCTACACTTTTACACAAGTATTCCCCATTCCAAATTAAAAGACAAATTGAAAGAGTTGGTTCTTCATTAAAAAACATGGCCAACGTAGATACAAGTATCTTGTCTTAGGGACGGAACAATCCGACTCTGTAAAAAATCACTCTGTTTCTGACAACAAGTTTTCTGAAACTGATATTATCAAGATGCTTGATTTCTTGATTAACAACATATTTATTACGTTTGGAGGACGTCTTTTTCAACAAACAATCGGCATTCCCATGGAAACAAACTTTGCCCCACTTCTTTCCGACTTGTTCCTTTATTCATATGAGGCTGACTTCATACAGGAACTTCTAAGAAAGAAAGAAAATAAGTTAGCAGAATCCTTGAACTTTACTTTCCACTATATAGATGATGTTCTCTCACTAAATAATTCAAAATTTGGTGACTATGTTGAACGAATCTCTCCCATCGAAACTTGAGATAAAGGATACAACAGATACACATGATACCGTTAAGTCTGCTTCAAATCTTGACTTACATCTAGAAATTGACAATGAGGGTCAGTTGAAAACAAAACTTTACGACAAAAGAGATGATTTCAGCTTCCCAATTGTGAACTTTTCATTTCTATGTAGCAACATTCCAGCAGCGCCTGCATACGGAGTATGTATCTCCCAGTTGATACGATATTCAAGGGCTGGTATTTCCTATCATGATTTCCTTGATAGAGGGTTGCTGCTCACAAGGAAGCTATTAAACCAAGAGTTCCAAGTTGTGAAGTTTGAGTCACCCTTTCGTAAGTTTTACGAACGCCATCACGAGTTGGTTGACCGTTTTTGAATATCAGTTTCACAGATGATAACGGATATGTCCCTAATGTAGTAACTACAATCCCGTACCCTTTTCCCGAATGTGACCTACCGAATTAGACTTATTACCGGTTATGTAATAACATGAGCAACACAACGGGTGCCACATGTGGAGCAGGATCTGCTTACCCTTCCGTAACACATGAGTTTACCCTAAGTTTTTGGTGGGGTTCGTGTTGCTCAGTCTTTAGTTTTCTATGGTGTGTTTTGTGTACTTTTGTTAGTCTATTGGTCTTTTTCTTTTTTATCCATGGCGTTGTCTGTTTATTTTCGACGTATGAGTTTGAATGTCCCTCTGGTATCTTTTGTCCCTTTTTTAAAGCGATACAAAATTACAAACACGTAGAAAACATGGTAGTATCAATAATTTTGATACATGTGTTGCATATGCATTATGTGGCGGCGATTTTGTGTTTGCTTTACAAGAGAGGTGGAAGATACCAAAGGTAAGTTCAAATTAAAAATCATTGAGTTTAAAACAAACTGACAACGCCAAGGCAAAAAACGTAAAACAACCAAAGGACAAACAACAGTTAACAAAACACAACATCAAAAACTTAAAGAGCAACAGGAAGCTCGCATACAACACCGGGTAATCTTGGATGTTACAGAATTGTATGCTTCATCTGTGGCACCCATAGTGTCGCTCATGCAAGTACAACTCCAATGACAATTCCTATTTGGTGATGTCACATTAAAGTCCGATATTGTGGTTACGACAAATGGAACACATCCAACGTCATCTTTGAAACAGATAATTCATAAAGGCTTTGAAGTTATACCTGTTCTCATCCACTTTCTTGATATGCTAAAGGATCAAAGTTACATTTTTTAAAAATCTCCTTATCTATCTTAAATAAAACGTACACAACGAAGCTAAAAAGACAGATAAAAGTCTCCCAATTATTTGAAATGAGATACAACATTTACCAATATACTTTAGTTGCATGATAAAATTGCTTTGTAGTTTCGTAGACTAATTGAACATAACAACTGAAGGACAGAGGGACGGACATAGTCAAACCAAAATATCTGTAATTTACTTCCACACTTTCTAGGCAGTATCATTGTTTTTAAAAAAATAGTAATTTTGTTAATTCATTTTCACAACTGCTACTATAACTTTTAAAGAGCGCAGAAAAAAGGCAAACAACACGTTACATATTGCATGAGTACGAAACGCTTCTCTGGATTTACCTTCATCAGGAACGTACAAAGCCCGATAGAAGAGAGGTTTTCCTTCTTTCGCTTTATATTATGAATCTAGTTCCATGTGAGGGGCAGGAACTACGTACCCATCCGGAATAAACAAAAAAAAAAATTCGGACACATAATGTTGCATATTTTTGTCTACCAATTGCAGTAAGGGTGTCTAGAAATGGTTTTTATAACCGGTCTCGCTCCATTTACAGTTCATGCTACTCTCTAAGCCTTTTGCTACCCTGATTTGTCTCTTTCTAATTTGAACGTCGGTTAACATCTGTCGAATTAATAAATGGGAGTTAAGTTTAGAGATGGGATATTCATAATGTTGAATTACACAAATCAAAAAAACAAATCTTTAATTTCAGGAAATAAAAACGTGCAGAATAATCCGAGGGGTCTGTGATTTATATGGAAATAAATGTCTAAACTCACTATCGACATGTTTTTTGCCGGTTTGAAATCTGTAAATACCAGTAAACCCGTCTGATCAGTATTTCAACCGATTATATCCTTTTCCAGATTATAAAAATTTGAATGAGTGTGAATTTTACATGGCAAGTGATGCATACATAGCAATAGACGTTTACCCTGTCGACATACATGGGCTTGCTCCTTTTGGAATCCAATTTGATTCATTTGATTTTTGTTCTTTATCTTGATTTGTCTCTTCCTAATATATTAACGAGATTTGAAATATGGTGAACTGCTGTAGCCTTATTTCAAATCATTGTATTGGGTTGGGTTTTGTCGACTGTTATTTGTCTGTTCGTCATTTCCTTTGCAATAGTGTTTAAACTGGACTTTTAAAAACAGATTTACTATTGAAGAGCAAATACACCAACAAAATGAAGAATTTTTGATCTAGTGAGAAATATGATTTTTGTGATAATTGCAACATTAAGAATACATAAACTTTTAAGTATTGTGTTCCACGTACACCTTTAGCAAATTACATGAAATATTTCTTTACTATCATAGTTATACAAATACCTTTGATAGAATCATTGAACAATTCAAGTTAAGTGAATAGAAATTTAAGTGTGAAAAGTGGCTACTTGTAAAATACTGTAAATGAAATACGAGAACAAGATGTACTATTCTGTTCTCGTTATCTACTTTAAGCCTACACCTTTCCCGTATATATATTAATCGTAAATTAGGGTTAAAAATAAATCACCTGCGAAAAGTGATGTCATTTGAGATCCGTTTGAAATAAGTTTAAAACATTTAACCCGTATTGCATTACCATTATCTACGTCAATTTAATGTATGTTATCTTGTAACACGACATTTTGTCGTAATACTATAGCATACATTAATCATCCGTAAGGATATTCAACAAAAAGTATTTAATTTAGATAAATGATGTGATCAAGGAAGTGAATATGAAAACACTTTTAATACATAAACTGATGTCACAGCATTTGTTTAATACTTATAACAGGGTTGTTATTACCTGGGAAAAAACAATGTTACTGAAATAAATCTGCATGCTAACTGCATTTAAACATTGAGAATCAACTAACTTCACTATTTTTTTTTTAAATAACTTTTTAACTATTTTAGACTTTTTGAATATTTTGTTTGCAATCTTTTTTCAATGATTCCGTTAGGTTAACTTGATGTTATCTTGTCGTTTAAATCTTCGGATAAAAAATATCTTATCAATTTAAATTTCGTCATCATTGCAAAGCAGTAATTGGAAAATTTAAGATCATCTAAGCCGCATGCTAAATTCGTCAGAAAATATCATAAGATTAGCGTAAAGATATCTTTTGTGAACAAGTGCGGGGTTAAAACAATCGAATAGGATGAATAACGATATGAGACCAAATACATCAAGAGTTAAAGCATCTCCTGGATGTCTTAAATTATGTAGTGAAACCACTGTTTAAGAGACCTGGTCGGAAGGTTACCCTTAAAACTCTTTTTTTCAATTGGTTTTTCTATGTTAAAATAGTTATTTTTTGTAGTTATTCATATAATAACACAATATTGACTGCTGTACCCCAACATTTGACATTTTTATCTATTATGTCTGTTTGTTTTGCTCACACATTGTTGTCACTATAATGGAATTCTATGCAGCTGTCATACAAGTGAAAGGTTTGGCTAGCTATAAAACCAGGTTTAATCCACCATTTTCTACATAAGGAAATTCCTGTACAGAGTCAGGAATATGACAGTTTTTTTCTCCGTTCGTTTGATGTGTTTGAGTTTTTATTTTGCCATTTGATAAAAGACTTTCCATTTTGAATTATCATTGGAGTTCTTTTTGATTGCTATTTTACTTTTTTCTCTAAGAGTGCTCTGGCTTCTTTTTCCAATAAAAAGTGAGTAATACGCTACAGCAAATGCCACTGAAACCAGTATTACACATCTACAAACAAGCAAATAAAACATATATACTCAAATTTACAGCCAGTTTCTATATAATATCGATCAACATTCACCTAAATGCACATAAAAACTTCAGTAAGCATAAGACGTTTTTAACAAGGGAAAGCATACTTTTGATGACAATTACAGCCGAAGAAGAAACTTTGACATGTTTAATCATTAATCTATTGTTAAGACGGAAAACAAGTCTATAGGTTAGTATAACAATTAAATTTTTTAATAGCAGTACAAAATTGCAAACACGGAGTAAACATGATAGCATGAATAGACATCATAATTCTTTCATTAAGTGAAACTAAAGACTTTTTTTTACCTCGGATGTAAAACTTAGAAACCCCAGCAATTTTGCGCAGAACAGAAAGGCCTGAATTTGGACAAAAAGTTCCTTTTTAACTCTTCATAATCAGTTCACATTCAAAGAGTCTTCGCTTAACTTTCACCTAAGCAGTTCTGAATCTGAAAAATGAAAGAAATTTGTACGTTCTGTGGACAAATATTTGGTATTACTGTTTTCATTTTTGTTACAGATCAAAGCTATCATATAAAAAAAAACATACACAACTAAGCAATAAAGACCGCTACTTGTCTCGCAATTACTCGCAGTTAGATGAGAAATTGACGAAATAACTATTCAGATGGTCGTTTTTGTAGTTTTGTACAAACAAAAATAAATGTAAGGACATACAGAGGGACATTAGTCAAAGATATTCATCTTTAATTTACAAGTAGAGTATGATGGATCATTTTACTGTTTTGTATTGTTTTTGTCCCCAGTTTCTATGTACTAGTAGTTTAATTTTTCAATATAAATAAGTCATTTTAACGTTTTCCTTTCCCCATTACTACTACTACTATTCAAAGAGCGAACAAGATATAAGAGATAATCATTCTATCGCTTTTGATTATGATATTAAACAGGCTAAGTGAAAAAAAAATAACTCATGCACCTGGAAAGAAGCAGGAACAAAACACCCGTCTGAACCCCATGAGTTTACACCCGTTTTTGAAGGGTTTGTGTTGCTCAATAACTTATTTTCTGTGTATAGTTTTATTTAATTTTGTAATCTTTTTGTCGTTTATGTTTTCGGCCTTAGTGCTGTCCGTCTTTTTATTTTGATGACTTCTATTATATCTTCTCTCTTTATTTACAATTTCACCATTCGTTATGAGATTTTGACATTCTGATATATTTGCACTTTTATTCTCTATTCAGCTTTTAGGAGAAATTCTAAGTATATGTCAAATATATGGAAAAACATTATAAATATATTTTGTTGTTAACCATACGTTAAAGACAAGACTTTAACAAATTGACCTCAATGAATAATAATGAATGGTAAATAAATCGGTAATATATTTTTGTTGACGCTTTACTAGCAGGAGTGTCTAGTAATGGTTTTTGTGATAATTTGGTTTTGGAATTGAGTTGTGCTTTTAATGCTGAGGAATTATAATAATTGAAAAACATATTTAACCATCTATGTTCATCATGTTCTTGAATAATAAACATTCTTGAAATTACTGAATATATCTTGACTAAGTTTTTACGATTGGTGCTACGGAGGAAATGTGATATATCTATGGCTTTCAATGTTAAAAAATATTTTGTTGTGTATTGTAATCCGCTGTGTATCTGTTCGTCGTTTGTTTTAGAGTCATATCTGTTTCATTGGACTTTTTGAAAATCATTGAAGAGCAAATAATCCGAGTAGATTAAACATTAAATGTTTTAGTGTAGTAATTGCAAAATAAAGAATATATAACGTTTTAAGCACTTTGTAAGACTAACAAAAATGAATAAATCATGTGAAATCCTTTTTATTAACATAATTATACAATAGTTTGAACAAATACTTAATGGAAAGGTTCAACAACGCAAATTCAAATGTACATTTTTAGATGGTGACGTTCCCTTGTCACCATCTTACGGTGTTTATATATCTCAACTTGTACGATTCGCTCGTGTATGTAACAATGTTTTAGATTTTAACGAGAGAAATTTATGTATTACGGAAAAATTATTACACCAGGGTTTTCGATATCACAAACTAGTCAAAACATTTACTAAATATTGTCATCGGTATAAGGACATCATTCGTAAATATAGCTCAACATGCAGACTTCTCATACGTTCAGGTATTTCACATCCAATTTTTTATGGAAATATTCTTTATAAAGCACAAAAATGTCAGTATTCACCTCTGAAGCTAACAAAATCTTTAAATAGACTTATTAAGAAGGGATATAGTTACGATACTGTTGTCAGGTCATTAAAGATTGCATATTTTGGAGTTAATATTGATTCACTTATAGGGTCTTTGCATCGGCACTAAACACATTTATTTAAAAACCAGTTGTTGGCATGACACGGGTTATGTTCTTCTCATATATGTTATGATGGTATGATACTAAACCCCTAACGGGAAGGATTGTGCCTGATATTCATATGATGAAGACATAATCTTTTAATCAGTTTAATTGAAGTCTGGAGCTGGCATGTCAGTTAACTGCTAGTAGTCTGTTGTTATTTATGTATTATTGTCATTTTGTTTAATTTTTTTGGTTACATCTTCTGACATCAGACTCGGACTTCTCTTGAACTGAATTTTAATGTGCGTATTGTTATGCATTTACTTTTCTACATTGGCTAGAGGTATAGGGGGAGGGTTGAGATCTCATAAACATGTTTAACCCCGCCGCATTTTTGCGCCTGTCCCAAGTCAGGAGCCTCTAGCCTTTGTTAGTCTTGTATTATTTTTAATTTTAGTTTCTTGTGTACAATTTGGAGTTTAGTATGGCGTTCAATAGAGATTTCCAATAAAATGACATACGTACCTAACTCGACGTACGCACGTAACGGGACCGGTTATTGCTAACCTATTAATTTTGTTAAATGGGCCACTCAAGTTTCAACTAAGTATTCCTAAACTATTAAACTCATTCATGATAAATTTTATCTATATCAAGTATTTCTAAGATGATGAAAAACGAAAGAAATCATGATTTTTATATATCACGTGATTATTGAGATTCCAGCCAAAACTTCACTGTCATAAGACCACGTATCTTTACCTATCATACGATTGATTTGAGTTGTCTTTCACGGTTTTGACCATGACTTTGATTTTATTTTCGTGGGTATTTATTATAAGACAGTGATTTTTCTAGCAACTTCAGAAATATCGAATTCAAAGTGTTAGTCAGAATTTGTCTCTGTTAAAGTTAATAACTGGGATTGCATCATACTTTATTAAGCATCATTTCAAACGTTCTCTTTTTCTGTAGTTAATCTTATTTACTTACAATCTCCGATTTTTCCCCAGGGAAAACTTACGACAAAGGAATGTGTATATTTAAAAAAAAATGATTAATACAGGTTTTGTAGTTCTTTAAATTTTAATAGTTGACATACACTTTTCTTTTAAATGAAAGTCAACTTACATTAAAATAAAAAAAGAATTTTGTAATTAATAACGATATATTTATGTAAAAACATGTGTACACCAATTCGTTATATAGATTGTAATTTGGAAGGTGTACTTGATTAGCAATTGATGACTAATCTGCATATAAATAATAATACTTTATTCAGAAGCAATACAGCTTATAGAATATACATTTTACAATAATTTTTAAATGGATCAGTGTAATATAACTAACAATAATTATACACAATACACGTATGGCGGAGAATGACAATAAATTCATATGATAAATAAGGAATACAACTACATATTACGATTTTTTTCGATATTAAACAAAAATTTACCTAAATTATTAAGTTCTTTCTCATTGTGAACTGATCACAACTGTATAAGTTTAAAAGTGGATGGATATTGCCAATAATATATAAACACTGACCGCTGTGGATAGTAAAGTATCAATTTATAGTAAATAACAATTGGCTAAAAAATGTCCTGTCTCCAAGTATCTCTGATTAAAAGTGGATGAAAATGCCAATTTACATATACTTGTTACATTTTTAAGACAACTATAATGCCACTTCAGTCTTTACAGTAATTTTCTTTTTAAAATGTACTTTTAATTAGGAAGGCTTGATATTGTCATAGTTGTTTTTGAATTAAGACAACTCTAACTAATCAGATTAGACGTGGATTCTATTGATTGAGTAAAGCAAAAATTTGGAGTTTCAACTTTTGTCTCGCCTTAGAGGTATATATTTATATATAAAAGTTAAACTCTACGACATATCCATGCATAGGATCACCAGTGAAGGTGATACACGGCTGAAAACACATTTTATATTCATAATTACTTTAAATAAGTATTATCTCTGAAGAAAGGTTTTTTCCAGGTTGTTCTTATGTCGTGCTGTTGCACCACTGTCACAGGCTTAGGGGAGGGGGTTGAGCACTCACAAACATGTTTAACCCGTCCACATTCTTTATGTGCCTGTCCAATGTCAGGAGCCCGTGGTTCACTTGTTGTCGTTGATTCATATCTGTTATATTTGTTTTTCGTAAATTGTTTTGTTTTAAATCAAGCCGATAGTTTTCTCAATTGAATTGTTTCATATTTTTCAAGTTGGCCCCTTTTATGGTCGACTATACGGTATGGATTTTTCTCATTGATGAAGGTCGTACGGTTGACTATCATTGCTTACATCCACTTCATTTCTTATTGGCAATCATACCACATCTCCTTATTTTAAATTTTTTTTTAACTAAATATGTTGAATATTCTCAGGTAATTTAACATGTAAGAATCAGCTTTCAGTACCTGGGGGTACTTTAAGATCGCTACTCTGTGTCTTTCATCATAAAAATGTAATTGTTTTGGACTGAATTCAAATTTGATTAGTTGAGCTATTTCCAAATACGTTTTTTTTCTTATGTTGTGCTGTTACATCAGAGTGTTGGGAGCCTTCAATTTAGTGGATGTCGTTGGTTACTTTCTGTAATTTTTGGGTTATTTTTACTCTTGTAAAACTATTTATTTTCGTTTGAACCGTTTACATTTTTTAAAGTCAATGCCTTATATACTAGTATCTGATAATACGGTATGAGTATTTGCTTATTGTTGACGACATCACGAGCCACTGAAGTCGTTATTCACGCCATTTGTTTGATAGTTTGGCGCTCCACACGGATCCAGGTATATACATGTCGGAGTGTAAGGAATAAATCAAAAAAAGAATGCATGCTAAGCATACTAATGCTTTTGAAGAGAAAATTTAAAATATTTGTTGAACGGATAGACTGGCGGACGGACAGACAGGGTGATTGTGATATGAGTGCTGGTATAATATTTTGTCAGTGTATGTATCTTAGATGCTAGTGGTAAGGAAGTCTGCATCAAAACGGAGTAGTCTTTTATACTACTAGTATTTAGAATAATAATTGCATGCCTACTGGATATTAATAAAATAGCAAGTCACAAGGATAATGGAAGCTGTGAAACACCATTTTACAATAAAAACTGAGCTTTTTGATACAAAGAAACATTGAGAAAAATCAAATAAATTATGTAGTAACAAAAAGTGTTTTCAAAACAAGTGTTGCTAGAATAATAATATATGCACATAAAGCATAAAATATATAAACAGGTTTTTGTTAAATATGGGATTGACTGGTAGCAGGTTAGCCTCGATTACGGGTTTAATTATTTTGTTGGACCCCCTGATCGAATGATTTTAAAACTGGATGATTTTTCTGCTTCTCCGCCAAACATGATGCATTCACGAGTAAGAGCAGGTGTTGGTTTAATCGAAGAAAAACAAGTGTGTCTTTGTTTCGGGTACGCTATTTTGTTACCTAGCATATAAAAATGCGACCATTAGTGTTGGTCATGTACAAAAAGGTATATTTATTTATCATTATCATTTCATCATCCTTAATATATATGTAATATTTGTCGCTGGATATAAGACATACATCAGTATCATCATCTTCATTATAGCTTGAGGCTAAATTCTTATCTAAGATTTTAGCCAATTTATGTGGAGAACTTATTTTACGCATGCATCTCTTTGCTACATAGTTTTTATAAATGTCCATGTTAAAGCCAATAGAGATCATAGAAGTATGTTTATCAAATGATCATGTCTACTCACAATTAAAACAGTAAGAAAGGGATTGACTCGTTCGACTAAAACGAAGCACAAAAACAGCAATTACTAAAATTTCCAAATAAACTCCTATGTACCGATCTTACAGTATTCACAGCTACTGAACACTATCTTTAAAACAACTACAACTAATAAATACAGAATAATTATCCAGTCTAGAATATTAATACATTATTTCGTACTGTTACACCACTGTCCCAGGTAAGTGGGCCCGCTAACATGTTTAACCCCGTCACATTATGTATGGATGTGTCTGTCCCAAGTAAGGAGCCTGTAATTCAGTGGTTATCGTTTGTTGCTGTGCTTTCGTTCATTTTTTTGTACATTAATTAGGCCGTTAGTTTTATCGTTTTAGTTGTTTTACATTTGTCATTTTGTGGCCTCTTATAGCTGACTATGCGGTATGGGCTTTGCTCATTGTCGAAGGACGTACGGTGGCCTATAGTTGTTAATTTCTGTGTCACTTGGTCTCTTGTGAAGAGTTGTCTCATTGGCAATCATACTACATCTTCTTTTTTGTACACATTATAAATTAAGTATAAAAAGTACATAAATAGTCTAGAAAAGCAAAACCTTTTGTCATGTCAAAAGCACAGAGTGTCTGTAGGACCATTAGTGTTCATAACTGTATAGCAGATTATATGTAGTTTCTATAAAATGTAACGATAATTTATCGGCAAAAGATACATGATGATTTGTTAGTGGAATTATAAATAACTAAATAAATAAATATTTATATTAAAAAGAAACATCAGAAACAAGAATATGTGTCCATTAAATTACACGTCAGTATCACATTTCCGTGTTAAGTGAGCTCTAAATCTAGGAAAAATCCAATTCAGTATGTAGTCTAAACTTTTAAATCTCATGCGAGATGTCTAATGTTCAAACATTGTTGTTTTTAAAACGTATTTATCAAAGTCAAACGACAACCATTTAATTTTTTTTTGTGCTATACAATTTGTGATTATGGCCGGATCCAAGATATTTGAAAGAGGGCGTAGTTCCCGATAATTGAATTTATACTGCCGAGCTGAGTGATGCGAAAAAAATTTGGACGATTTTACACTAAAAAATTGTATAGATAACGTGGAAAACGCGAGATTTTCAAAATTATTTGGCGATCGAAAGGGGGAGTACGCCCTCTACCCCTGTATCCGCGAATGCACGTTTAGGTATACATGGACAAAAACCTCGTCCCAATCATTTAAAGACGAAAAAGTACTATTCGATAAATGTATCAATGATATGAATTTCTGTCCACGTCAAATTATCTTGAATTAAATTTAGTCGCGTACACCTTTTACATTCGGGTGTGTTGGAATCTTTTTTTTAACGTTAAAACTTATAAAAATAAAAAAAGAGATAAACTTCTCGCTTCGGATTTCATTATTTTAATATTTTCATGCTAAATTTTCACTTGGTAGTTTTTAAAATTCATATTATGAGAAGAACTGAAATATGGGTCAAGTGAAATGACAAGAAATGATGGGTGTATTTGATTACAAGTTGCTAGCTTACTTATTCCATTAAGATATTTTTGTCAATAAAATCATTCAAAATTTAATTACAAAATATTTAAAAAATTTAAAAAAGTAGTTGGGGTTGATTTTTACATTAAGTCTATATCAGCAAAAAATGCGTGTGCAAAGAGCAAAAAATGCATGCAGTGTATGCTCCCCTCCGTCATGCTTCAATGCAATAGGACGAAATACGTTGAGTTAGGTCGGTTATGTCGAGTAAAGTCATTTTATTGGAAATCTCTATTATCACTGAACTAGTATATATATTTGTTTAGGGGCCAGCTGAAGGACGCCTCCAGGAGCGGGAATTTCTCGCTGCATTGAAGACCTGTTGGTGACCTTCTGCTGTTGTCTGTTCTATGGTCGGGTTGTTGTCTCTTTGACACATTCCCCATTTCCATTCTCAATTTTAAATGTAAGTTTTACACACTGACTTCCATAAGACAGCAATTAAATCCCAATAACCACCAAACGTTGATAATTTATTATACAAAATGACATTTATTAGGGTGTTACGACATCCAAACGTTACTTCTTTCAACATAATAGGGACTACGTGTAATATCATTTGAATAAAAGATGAAAACAAAATGGAATAATCGGTTCTCGTTATCATCTTAATGGTTCAATCCTTTCCGTGTTTTTATTGAACTTTATTCAAGGTTGAAATTTAATCACCTGCGAAAAGCAATCAACGTTGAGTTTTTGTTTTAAATGAATTTAAAACATTTCCTGTATCGTTGTGTGAATCCAATAATGAAGTAATTCCCATTTGTTAATAGTGGTAAAAATTAAGGTTCAAAAGCGCAATATCTTAAAAATTTGACTGAGTCATAACAAGTTATATAGGAATCGAATTTACGTTTATGAAGAGTACATGCAACTCTTTGTTCGATTGCTTTTTTTAATAGACAAGCAGATAAGATATAAATCTTTATCTCCATACAATAACTTGTGTTATCTTTTAACATGCCATTCTTATCGCAATTCTTTTGGCCATACTATACGAATATTTGGAAACAAAAAATATCTCCTTTGCAGCTTTTGAATTTAATTTTTTAGCATGTTTATCACAAAAAATTCATAATATCAAATGAAATAAGGAGATTTAGCTAACTAAGTCCTTATAATTGAATAAAGTAACATTCATTTTTAGTGGATTCTTTGTGGTTAATGTAAGATAACTCTGGTTAATTTTCCCAACATTTTGTCATTATGGGGAGATAAATAAATTTGGTTTTCATATATAGTCTTTTTCAAAAAAGTTCAAATGCTTTATGTAGGTTCCAATCATTGTTTCTCACTAAAGCATTTGACATAAATTTGAAGTTTCTGGAATAAAGAGGTGGTTATTGTGTTCTGCTTATGTGTTTGTGCGTATATTTATCGTGTGTGTGTTTGTGTTGGGGGGTGTTACATATCATACTTGTATTTGTCTTAAGGGAATCAAGTAATGCATATAAATTAAGAAAATATGTCTGCTGCATTTGAATTCTGACATAATTATATACACCATATTGAACCAATAAATGCTTTTACAAGTAGCAAGATCAATGCTGTTGGGGGTTAGATGACGCAGACAACTTAAAACAGTGTATGCTTGACAGCAGTATGCATATAGTTGTCAAATGAAACATGTGTTATTCACCTAAATAATTTTCTCAATCATAAGTCGACAGAATACTATTTATATAACGTAGAATCGTAATACGGCTTTTTATAGAAACTGTTCCAGAATTAGTTTCAGGCAAGTGCATTATCTGTACTCTCACAGTGGTGTGCCTCATCGACACTAATTAACTTAATAATAACGATGATGATGAAGGGTTTTAAACGACCTTGACTACCCATTATTAAAATGTTACTTAAATGTTACCTTGGTATTTATTTATGTTATATAATAATTTTTAACGTTTCAAACAAGTAAATAAAATATAAGATATACATAAATGTCTTTAATAAAACAATAATAAATATTAAAATCTATCAAATTCATAAATTTTGCAATGATTCAAAATTTTATCAAATAACTATACGTAAAGATCAAATTATGAACCTGTTCAAGGGAAACAATAAACGCATTGAGATAGACTATTTGGAATCGAAACAAAGTAAAAAGGGATGTCACTCTTGCATACAAATGACACACCAAAAGAATTAATTAACACAACATTCGTTCGCTTGCTTCTATGCAGATTCTAACTTATCAACATAACCAACAGTTGTTAATCTATAGGATAGTAACTGCCAACGAATGCTAACCCACAGTAAAGTATATTTGTTTTCATAGCTCATAATTAACGTGTTTACACATTAAAATAATATATTAGTTAAACAATATTTGCTTCTAACAGTATAAGACACAATACAGATCGTATGCTTGAATCAACTTACCCAAATAAGCTCAACAGTAGTCCGTAAGTAATTGTACTTCAAATTCGAACGGCCTTAATTGAATTGTTTTGCTGTTGTTTTTTGTATGATAATCTGAATATGTCGTATCCGAGATATTTGTCAGGTTTGGTGATGAAGGGACAACTGCTACGTCAACCGATAACATGTCCATGGATACGTCTTTTTGGACATTTCAATATATCGAGATTTGGATTTATTCAATTCCCTTCAATCATAATTCATTCTTTCCTTATCCAAAAAAAGGAGATGTGGTATGATTGACAATGAGACAATTATTCACAAAAGTTCAAATGAAGTGGATGTAAGCCAATATAGGCAACAGTACGGTCTTCAACAATATAACGTGCGCGCTTTACCCTTTGACCACAATGTTTTCAGAATGAACAGAATATCGCTATGCGGTATATATATCCTTTACGTTATATGTCGTCGGGCTATGGTGGCCTTGCGAGCCTTGCCGAAGTAACCGATATGGTACAAAATGTAGTTACAGTTCTAATTGTGTTTACCAAGTCAAAGGTCAGATATTTATTGTTGCGTTTCCTCACCTTTATTTCCTTATATCAAATTATTCAGGTAGTAAAGTATATTGTAACTTGAACGCAAGGTCGAAGACTTACTTTGAAAATGAAAAGTCTATCTACCTTCTGTGGTTGACGTTTGTGTTTTAAAATAATATTTTTTGTATTCAACTTTGAAATCACAAACAACTCATACATTAATTCCAAAATTGCCTTTGCGATCACTTGTTATCTGAATGAATGCAAATTAAACACAAATGTATATTTACAGTTTAAAATTTAACAAAAGAAGGAAATACACCGAAGGAAGTTTTTATTAGGAAAACTGATATTTTATAACGTGCTACTAGTTGGATATTAAATATTGTAAACATATTTAGTCCTAAATTAAATCAATATGAAAATAAGGAGATGTGGTATGATTGCCTATGCGAAAACCAAAGTTCAGATGAAGTAGATGTAAACAATTATACTCAACCGTATGGCCTTCAACAATGAGAAAAAATCCCTACCGTATAGTCGGCTATAAAAGGACTCGACATGAAAAATATAAAACAATTCAAACGAGAAAACTAACAGCGCAGATATGTTTAAACTATCCATGCTGTCCTTGTAATTTATAAGACTTGGCAAACAACAATATATACAAATACACGATGCAATTTATGAAATGTACGTGTTAATCATGTTAATACAACATTATCAAACTAGGTTGATGAATTTGTGTCGGGCTTTGCGTAATGCACGGGCATACCCAAGTACCTATGGTTAATGTAACTTAACTTTTATCCCGCAACCAAGATGTTTAGGTGGTTGTCGCAAATATCCGTGTCAGTGTTTAATACATTTCATTTGGAGAATGGACCCCCTTATTCTAAATCTGTTCTTGTTGTTTTTTTTTTGTACGATATTACAATAACAGTACTTTATAAATTTTGACACTGTATTATAATAATTGAGGGTCAAAATTTATTAACTACTGTTACTGTAATAAAGAATGGAAAAGAGCAAGAACTCACTTAATAAGTTAAGATATCACAGAATATTTACTTTTTTTTTTAGAAAAAGGGGGATCCATTAGCATAGCAACTGTGAGCGTGTTAGACTCGAATGTTTGGTGTCGTGGGTTTGATCTATAAAAAATACATGATATTTCCTGTTTCCGCTAAACCTGCAACACGCAGTCAGAAATAAAAGCAAAGACTAGTTCAATCGGACGCAGAATAAAGTGTCCGAATAGGGTGGCATGTCTTACTGCGGACTTTTACATTGTAAACTGGAACATTAAAAATCCGGCACAGCATGTCATTCTAGTACAAAACACGGTTCATGTTCATGTCACATTAACATGTTCTCGTCCTAATTTGCATGTTTTATTTGTCAATGGACATTAAACACCAATTCATGATCGTTATTATGTCATAATATTATAGACAATCATCTAAAACGGTAGCAACTGCTGATTCAAATCGTTAACGTAATATTTGCTCCCTGTGAAAATCCTTGTAGTCCGATATTTAACGTTTGAAAGGTAAGCTTCTTTAACAATGTGCGTTGAATGTTGATTCAAAGACATAAACAAACACATATTGTACGGGCACTTGTCTGTTATTGAACACTACATTTTGCCCTCTAGATGTCTTTTTCGTTATCTGTCTCATTTACATGTACCAAACCTCTGTTATACATTGTGCTATTGTCCACTTCCAATTCAAATATTAAAATAAGAAGATGTGGTATAATTGCCAATGAGACAACACTCCGCCACCAGAGACCAAATGACATAGAAGTAAACAGCTATAGGTCACCGTACGGTCTTTAACAGTGAGCAAAACCCTTACCGTATAGTCAGCTATAAAATGACAAATGACTGATTTGATGATGTAGTTTCACCTGGTGCTTCTGTTTAGGTTTATATTACCTAGGCATTATGCTCATCAGGTACCTCAGCTTAACAGAAACATGATAAAAATAAACGAAAATTCTGGAGATAGAACACTTTACTAGAAACAATGTTGTTTTACAAATTCATCCCTAAATTTATATAGGAGATAAACAATGGATTTTCTAACTGTGTAATATCCCCAATTCTGGACTGCTGGATTTGCTAAAATTTGCCCATAGATTGAGTTATAATCATGCAAACAATTTGAGCATAGTACTACTTAGATAATTTTGATAAAGATTATTTTACAGCAAAAATACCCGAAAAATAGTGGAGATAAAACACTATAAAACATTTTCTCTTAACTAACTAGATGAATGAGCCAATGGGAATGTGGAGATAGGACAGTTTAGTTATGAAAAAAACTTGTAGGGTGAAGACATTTTGTATTATACAAACGTAGTTGTATAAGGGAGATAGACCATTGTACTTGGGTTTCAAAAATATAGATATCGCAATTTTTATCAAAAATTGACATATAACACTATAAGATTCACACGACGGTATGCTATCATCTTTATCTCCATACAATAATTTGGGTTATCTTTTAACTTGATATTCTTTTGGTCATACTATACGAATATTTGACAACAAAAAATAACTCCTTTGCAGCTTTTGATTTGATTGTTGTGAAAAGGCAAGTGATTGACTGTGTTAAACGATAGAAAATAACATTCATTTAAACAAATAGAAATGAAAAAAAAAGAAAAAAAAAATCAGCAACAGTGAACACAAAGCATAAAATATCTTGTTATAGGTAGTAAGTATTGGCGTGTTTAACCATTTCTGTCATTAAATTAATTAAATCTGCTGATACATGTATGCACACAAAGTGTTTACAATTTCACTAGAAGATTCTAAAATTGTAATAAAAGGGTTCAACCATAAAACTAGTCTGCTTTTGTCGTTTTTATACAAAGATAAGACATTACACGAAATACACGATACATTAGAGTAATAGGTTGATAGAATAACAAACTTGTGTATCAAAATGTTTCAAAGTGGAAAATGTTTTTCTTTCCCTTTAATCTTATTTATATACAAGGGAACACTTTATAATAATTATATTAATATTTACGACAATGATTTGTTAGATAAATGAATCACTGAAGATGACATATTAAGTCGAATTATACCGGATTTTCTCATGATCACAACATAAGCATAAGGAAAAGACATCTATCAATATCCTGATACATTATTACTTATTCGGTCAAATTATTTTACATGGTTTCATATTAAGGATGTTCGCTCCTCTGTTTCAAAATAACAAGCTTTTTAAAAGACTAGTATACATTGATAGTTTATAAATAACAGAACTTAAAAAGCAGAAATAAAGTGACAGGTCCGTGTCTTTGTTTATGAGATATAATCAATTGAAAATTTTGCGGGAAATGATTCTCTCTAGATTTTTCATACATTTAACATTAGCACCTTTTTACTTTCTAAAACTATGAAAAAATAACAAGGATTTTTTAAGATTTTCAAAAATTGCTTTATAAACTCCATGTAATAAAATTATGCAAAGAAAAGTGAGGGTTAGCGGGCAAAATTTTGATTGGTACTACATTGGATAAAACTAGAGGATTCCGAATATCTGACAAAAATGTGTAAAACTAGAGTAGCAAACAACCTCAAAGGCTGGTGAAATTCTATTAAAACTCCGCATTCTTTCTTCGGTGTCAAAGTTAAAATTGATGATTTAAGAACAACAAGGGAGCAATTTCACATATGCAAATCCAAACAACATTCATCTAACGACTACATAGTGATATATGATATAGATAATATGTCCAAAGATCATTCTTAACTTTTGCGTTTGAAAAATGAAAAACAAAACTATTATATATATAAATGTTTGCACCAAGAATTATCCATAAAATAATGGTTCAAATAATTGTTGAACACAATATAAACATCATGCAGGGTACGTGATGTATAACGTATATGACCATGGCTGCGTCTAATTCGAGGAGTAGAAATGCAAATGTTCATCTAACTCACCAGTATGCAGTAAGAATTAGAACACATACCTATACCATATATTTGTCATTGCAACCATAGGGTGTCGTTCTTTTCATTTGTCGATTCAAGTGGTTTTCTTTTTGTCTACGGAGATTTGATTTAAAATGCGGATTGATAGTCCTGTGGTATATTCATCGATATTGCGAACTCACATAAAAAGGATTGGATGATGATCAGACTGATTACAATGTTGATAAACAATGTCATTTGCATTGCAGTTAATGTGTAAAATATGGCTGCACAAACGTTTATTAAGCTTTCTTTTGTGACATCGACATATAACAACCCGCAAAGGTAACACTCTTATCTGTAAACAAGGTTTGTTGATTAGCAATTCATGTCATCGTAGCTCCTATTGCAGTTCACTGTTTCAGTTAAATAAAATTACTTGTAAATTAATGATCCGTTTAAAAAAAAAAATGTTTTTTTTTTTTTTTGGTTAACGTTTACAAATATCACAATTGATCGTGTCATCAAAGTTCAACAGTAGTCTGTAAGTTTACACGGCCTTAAGTGAATTGTTTTGCTGTTATCATTCGTATGATAATCTGAATATGTCGTATCCGAGATATTTGTCAGGTTTGATGATAAAGGGACAACTGCTACGTCAGCCGATACCATGTCCATTGATAAGTTTTTTTTGACATTTCAATATATTTTGATTTTGATTTATTCAGTTACCTTCAATCATAATTTATTCTTTTCTTATCCCTTTCCTTATCTGAAAATAAGGAGATGTGGTATGATTGCCAACGAGACAACTATCCACAAAAGTTGAAATGAAGTGGATTTAAGCAATTATAGGCAAACGTTCGGCCTTCAACAATAATGATATTTGGCCCATGTGTTTACGTGCGCTCTTTACCCTTTGACCACAATGTTTTCAGAATGAACAGAATATCGGTATGCGGTATAATTATCCTTTACGTTGCGCCAAAGATTTCAGGAAATGTCGTCAAATTGCATTCCTGACGTCCGAAATATCATTATGACGTTAAATCGTTATATGATGAATAGTCAAGTAGTATAAATTTGAAATACTTATTTTGGTTAA